CAAACAGCATGGACTTGAGATGCTAGACTTGATGCAAAACATTTTTTAAATTTAAAAGTAAATTAAAACATCCCTTTGGCCAGGTGTGGTGGCACACACCTATAATCCTAGCACTTGGGAGGCCAAGGTAGGAGAATCACTGTGAGTTGAGGCCAGCCTAGGCTGCAAGGTGAGTTCAAAGCTGGCCTCACTACAAAGTGAGACCCTATCTTTTTTTTTCTTTTTTTGTCTTTTTCCTTTTTATCAGTACCGGGGATCGAACTCATGACTACCTGCTTGCAAGGCAGACGCTTATGCCACTGAGCTAAACCTCCAGCCCCCTAGACCCTATCTTAAAAAGAAAAACAAAGGGTTGGGGATTTAGCTCAGTGGCTTCAGCACCTGCCTGGCAAGGGTGAGGTCATGAGTTCGATCCCCGGCACCAAAAAAAATCACTTTTGTAAATGTGGGAAAATCAGAAGTCATCTCATTTGAGAAATCAGCATGGGAGGGGGACACCAGGGATTGAATTTATGACCTCCAACCTGCCAGGCAGGTGCTTGTTCTGCTGGGCTAAATCCTGGCCCTGAAATTAGCATCATTAAAGATTAAAGATGATAGTAAAATGATCTTTATAGTGAAGTCTTTAATCATGATGTTTTTCTCTGTAGGAAACCCTTCCATGACCAAATGTCGTTGCATGGCCAGTGCATCTGGACCAGCTCTACATTTTTCATCTTAGATCTAGGCAGTGCTGGGATCACAGGCATGCACCACCACCCTTGGCTCCATCGGGATTTTAGAGTAATAGAAATATTAAAAACACAACAGAGCAAGCCATCTAAAACTTCTCACCAGCTTTTTAAGGATGCGCTATAAATTGACCTGAGCTGTGCTGCTGAGACCCAGATTTGGAAAACTCACAGTGCATCTTCCCTGGTTATTCCAGACACCTCTCTTGGGGGACCCCAAGTGTTGGTGCCTGTGGGGTCCAAAGCCTCCTGAACTTCCGCTGGGAGCAGGGGGGCACCTACAGCTGAGCAGACACCAACAGCCTTTCTAATTCTGCCACCTACAAGCTATGGGAAGAGAATCACCCAGCTTATCTTCTGAACTCTGGTTTCCAAGTAATTTGTTCCGGCCTAGATCTCCTGCAGGCCTCCTATCATCTGCCCCAACATAATAGGAACCCCGTGTCTTTTCCTCCACTCCTTTCTTCTTTCAGTGCTTCTGACTTTCAGCACAGCCCCAGATGGACCCACTGCGACTCTGAAGGTGTTGTAGTCAGGGGTTGTGCAGAGAACAATTAAAATCAGGACATGGAGTGGTCACCCAGAGTTAACACAAGAAACTGCAGAAAATCTATCCACAACACCAAAGACATAGAATATTTAGTCAAGGGCCTAAATCCCATAGCAATGTCCCACATGAGTCCAGATGAAAATCCAGAGCTCATGACAATGCCTCCCAACAGTCCAACTGGAGGTCCAGAGCCCACAAGAACTCCTATACGGATCCATGCTGGGAGTGCCCAGAGGTCAGCAGTGGAAGCCAGAAAGTCCATGCCAGCGGGGTGAAGGAGCTGTGCTGATGGGATGAGGGTTCTAGGTTCTACGCTCGAGCCAAGAAGTCACACTAACAACAAAGACCAGGGCTGTCTTGACAAGCACCACAGCCATCCTCAGCGACACGGAGGCCCGAGCTCCTCCGACGATAAGCACAATCGAGTACATGCCAGGAAGCCATCATGACGAGTTCATCCTGGCGACCATGTGGAACACGTCTTCCCCTCCAGAGCCAGGAAGCAATGCTTGATGTGAGGACCAGAGTTTCTCCAGGAGAACCAATGGCTCAAACAGTAACTTGTAGGAGAACCCATAATGCCTCAATGCAACAGCTTCTCCCTCTACACATCTCTATTTATGCTGGCAACTTTCCTCAGGTGGAGCATCTAAACTCAGCACCATGCTGATTTAATTCCGCTGGCATTAAGATAACCCAGTTTTCAATCCATAACAGAAGGGGACTGTGACTTAAAACTCCATCTAGTCAGAGCAGTCCAGCCTAAGCAGTGGGTGGGCGATGCTGGGGACCAAATCTCAACAGACAGTGGGAACCAGCAAAGAAGAAAATGCAGGGTGTGCAGCAGGAGGAGGCTGGGGGTGCCAGGGCTCAGGAAGGGAAGGATCTCCACTGCCCCTCCCCATTGGGAGACCTTGCCCCAGTGAGGCAGCAGAACTGAGGACTCCTTTTCCTTTATGCCCTCCATCAGCTAAACAGTTCATTTTAGTGGTTCAAACCAGTACCTTCTGAGAGTGTCCTATGAACCATAAGTAGAACCAATTATGTAAATCACTGCCAGTTATTACAGTGGCTGAAAAGAATCAGGTTCCTGAAAAGACCGTGAGCGTTTCCAGAGCTCGGTAAATGTCCTATGAGAAACAAGCCATTCCTGATTTCTACCACATGTTGCCTCAGGATCCAGAGTCACTTTCCCAGGGCGCAGCACAAAGCACAAGAAATCCTGCATCTTCCCAGGGTGTGGGCCAGATGCCCTAAGAACCAGAGTTCTGGGCCAGGCTTCCTGGGCTTCACTACAGCGCCCTGGTCTGTTGCAGGCTGAAGCCTGAGGCACAGCGAGGAGGGTTTCAGGATATGAGGTTTTTTTTTTTTTGTTTTGTTTTTTTGTCTTTTTCATTTTTATCGGTACCAGGGATCGAACTCGCGACCGCCTGCTTGCAAGGCAGGTGCTTATGTCACTGAGCTAAATCTCCAGCCCGAGGATATGAGTTTAAAGAAGACAGCAACCCCTTACCATTCCTGTTGCTCTCTGAGTAAGGAACTTAGATTTTTCTAAGTTCCATAAAGACAAAGGCTTCTGTTTATTTTCCCAGTGACCTTCACACATTAAATTTAGTATTTCACTCAAACTGGAGACAGCCTGATGTCTTCTCTCCAGGATTCCCTTTAGGACTTTGACGTTGGCCGTGTCCTCTGCCTGGACTTGTCCCCATGTCTATTCTACTGAGCCCAGCTCCCCTGAACTCAAAGTCTTTTCCCTGTGGGGCCAGCTTGAGATGATTCTGTCACATCCCCCCGCCAAATCCCCTACTACCCCATCTCTCGGTCTCTCAACTCCCATCCCTAAAAATGCCTGTTTGGAAACATGGAGTCAAAACCCAAGAATTAGCTTCATTCCCCAATTGGTGCACTAAACTGGCTCATTGTTACAGGACATCCAGTCTGTGGTGCTAGACATCTGGTTTGTCCATCTTTGGTTTGGGGCATCTGGTCTACCCATCCGTGGTAATGGGGACATTCTGGTCTCTTTATTTGTGACTATGGGACATCAAGTCTGCTAATGTAGTTATGGGAGCATCTGGTCTGCCCACCTGTATTTGAGGACATCCGGTCCATCCATCTGTGGTAATGTACATCCAGTCTGTCCATCTGTGGTTATGGGACATCAAGTCTGCTAATGTGTGGTTAGAGGGTATCTTATGTGCCTGTATGTAGTTATGGACATCTGGTCTACCCATCTGTGGTTATGAGGACATTCTACTCTTTCATTTGTGAATATGAGAAATCCCGTCTATCCATCTGTGGTTATGAACTTCCTGTCTAAGCTTCACAGAGATGGCACTGCAGAAGGTAGCCCAATTCCAGCTCATAAAACCGTCACTGTGTTCACCAAGTGTCAGCACATTTCAGAGCAAGCATGTCATCCTTCTTGACCATCTGAGACCTTTTACTTACATGCATTGTCCTGAGATTTCCTGACAGTGTTTCTGCTGCATTGGCCTGGGGAGAAATGTGTAATTTTATCATGTCACCCTTAACTGTTCAAACAGGTTTCTTCAGTTTTCTGTCATTGAGATGAATATTCACACAGGGGGAAGGGATCATTTAGGGCATGCCCTGAGCGATTTAATTTTTTAAAAACACTTTCATTTTTAAATGCTGTGGGATACAACTCCAATGTCTCCCTTTGAATCCAAAACAATTACTGTGACTTTGAGTACTTGGAGACTTATTTCCTTATACTGATATGTAAAAAGGTGGCTAGGGCATTTCCTTCTCTTCAATTAACTCTGAGCATGGCAAACAAGGCTAGCCCAGGTGCTAATGTGTAGCATCACAGATGTGAGAGACTACTCCAGTGACTCCCTTTGGATCTAGAACAATTGCTGTGACTTTGATTACTTGGGGACTCATTTCCTTATATTGATATGTGAAAGGCTGGCTAGGATATTTCCCTCTCTCTCCAGTTGGCTCTAAGCATTGCAAATAAGGCTAGCTGAGGTGTTAGTGTGCAAAGTTTAGCCAACAGACCATCCTGTTTCTTCCGCATGGTGCTCTCCACTGTACAGGATTGAGCTGGGGGAATTTGCTTGGGTAATGTCAACTGGGTAGGAGCCTCAAGATAAGAGGCTGTGACTCTCCAGGGCACAAGAGTTTGCATATCCAAAACCTAAGCAGTAGCCCACCAAAACAATTCTACTGCTACCTTAATCAGGTTATGTAAATTGATCCTTGTGCATGTCTTTATCTCTGCAAATTACAGAGATGCCTTACTTGCACCTGGCCAGCCAGCTCAAGTTACTCAGTAATCCCAACATCCTGACTGTCACTCATCCCTGAGCAACCTCTCCTTTTCTTCGCAAGACAATAAATGCTGGGAGACTAGGATGGAGGCCTTTGTCCACATGTCCTCATGGGAAATGGACTTGGGTCCCCTTGGCTGCCCTTAACTTAGAATATGTCTTAGTGTCTTTACTCACTCTCGCATTGGTGCATTGGTGATGCATTGGGTTGCATTGGTGGTGGTAGACTGGAATTGACTGGCTGGTATTCCAATAACGTCTCAATAGGATTACAAATATAACTGTTTGGATTGTGAGGAATACTAGAAAGATGATTACAATACTTGGGTGACTGAACTCAATATTTGGGATTCCAATAAAACATTTCATTTTGAAAATGCCTTTCTCTCATAGAACACATTTCTTGTTTCTTTGCAGGGACCTTCGCTTTAACAGAATTAGAGAGATCCAGCCCGGGGCGTTCAGGCGACTGAGAAACTTGAACACACTGTAAGTTGAAATTTTGGATGGAAATGCATAGGGAGGAGATCAGTGGAAGTCATCGAGCCATTTCCCTGCAAACAGCAGATAGCTGTGGTCACACCAGAGCCCCCGGCCAGCAGGTGTGGCTGGGGGACATGGATCTGGGTGAGAGTGACCATGTGCACACCAAGTGCCAGGACCATATGTCCACCCATCCTATGTGCCCTCCATGTGCCCATCCTCATAAGCAGTGAGGTCCAGTAACACGACAGTTCACACCTTGGCCCAGGCTGGTCATGGCTCCTGAGTCCCTCATTTGCTTCCTGGGCCAGGGTCACTCTCCTTCCACTGCAAGGGGGAGCAGGGTAGGGATTCTGCTGTGCTCGGTGTGGATGCAGCAGGTCTTCACCCCACCCAGTTCCAGTGCAGGCTGGACCTGCACCTCCCTGACCACACTGAGCACCATGAGAAGCAGATTTTCTCTCAGCACCAGGACTTAAAACTTGGCCTGCGTGCAGGAAGGTGGAAGTGGAAACCAACCAACCAGACCTGTGGGGGGCAAGGGAAGTGGTGGCTGCAGACACTGGCTCCATATCCACAGGAACCAATGACGTGGGCTTTGAATGACAGCTTCAGTGTGGCTTCCAGGTTTGCAGCCAAGTGGCCCAGTCCTAGCTAAAGAATCAGCAAACCAGAACTCAGGGCAAAGACATGCACTCTTTTGTACAGGACAGAAGATTGTTTTTCCAGTGTATAAGAAGGTGGAAAATGTAGGGTAGGTGGAAAGCTTCCTGGAGCAAACTACGGATCCCTAGAGTTACACGCTGAGGTTTCTTGGATCATTTTGGTACTTATCAATGTTGGCCCAGGCTTGGTGGCTCGGTTCTTCTGGTCTCCATGGTTGCAGGAATGCTTGTCCTTAGCCCCATTGAGAAGTGTTCTGTTTTGAAGTCCTTTATCCTTCCTTTCTTAGGCTTCTCAACAACAATCAGATCAAGAGGATACCCAGCGGTGCATTCGAGGACTTGGAGAATTTGAAATATCTGTAAGTGGGCCATCATTCTCTCTGTGTGCGTAGTGTGTGAGTGTGGCCACGCCAGGTGTGCTGTGTGTGGCTTTCTGTACAGGCTGCACCCTAAAATCTTTATTTTCAGAAGGTGAGTGGAATTGTGCTGGGAGTGTTAAGGGCACTGTCATCAGGGTACAGTGCCATGTTCTGTGACTGTACCAGGTCACCAAGCCTTGGTAACAAGATGCGCTAGGTACAGTTACCATGCTCGGTGACCCAATATGGTGACGCTTTTGGGGACAGGAGAAGACAGTGTATCAGTAACACACGGCCAGTCTGCACGCTGCAGAGCATAAGCCTTGAGTTTCTTCCAGCTGTAGGAGAGGGCAGAGTGTGAACTCTTCATTTCCCTGTAATGTCATCACTTTCCACTACTTTGTCTTCCCCGATTTTATCTCTTCTTATCTAGTTAAACTCCATTTTTTTAAAAAGTCAGTTTTAATTAACTTTTTAGCATCCAGATCATCTACTTGTTGGAGGTTGGGTTTGTAGTTTAGCCAAGGACTTCCTGCTGAGTGTGGGGTGCATCTGTAATACCGGCACTCAGGAGGCTGAGGCAGGAAGATCCCTGAGAGTTCAAGGCCAACTGAAAGACATAGTGAGACCTTGTTGCAAAGAAGAAAAGAACCACCCTTCAAAAGTACTGGTGTAGTACCTTTCTCATGCATTTATTTTAAACTGGGAAAGATTTGGGGGAACATTGGGTCTACACAAGCTAGAGGTATGTGTCCCTTGGATTTAGCAAATTGCTATTCTTTTTAGGTCATGGATAACTTTCTAAAGAGAGCCGTTTCTAATGATGTAAATTTATTATAACAACCTAAATATCTTTAAAGTCATTTTTAAAACAGAGCTATTTGTTAGTGGAGATGTAGATCTTAAACTCCTTTTTTTTGCCTTTTTGAGACAGGATCTCACTGTGCAGTTCAGCTGGCCTTTGTAGCCCAGAGTGGTCTCAAGCTCAAAACAGTCCTCCTGCCTCAGGCTCCCAAGTGCTGGGATTACAGGCACACGCCACTTAAAGTCCATTTTGAATGTTTCAGTGATTCCTAGTTACAGGACTTTACTTTTACTCTGTGAAAATTGTCGTGTGTATTTGTCTGTTATCTTTTGGCATAGAATGCTAATCTTTAGTGTATGAATGTTGCTAAGCCTTGTTACTGATGTTTAAAATATAAGGCTAACTTTGTTTATCCTGCGTTTATGTTCGTGCATTTATCTCTCTTTGTGGTTGTTATTTTAAGTGCTGTGTAAATTCCAGAAGGAAGCATTGGTTTCCTGGATAGTAGATGCAGTTAGATGATAGCCAGCATTCAGGGCATGTGTGTGTGTGTGTGTGTGTGTGTGTGTGTGTGTGTCCATTTTTATTTGTTGCTCTTGGTTTTAAATCAACTAAGAGCAACTTGTGCACTCTGTAACTGCATTCATATTAGGCAGTTTGGGACATCATTTTTTTCTGTTTTGTTTTGTTTTGCTTTGTTTGGTTTTGTTTTTTGAGAACAGGATTTTGTTACATAGTTCGGGCTGGTCCTGGACTCACTGTGTAGCACAGACTAGCCTAGAAATCCCAGTGATCTTGCTGCCTGAGCCTCCTGAGATCACAGGCATGTGCCACCACACCCAGCTAAATAATATCTGCCAACCCCACTGTTGACCACTGGCTCTCTGACCATCCCTGCTCTGAGCCCTCCCCTCCTTCCCTCAGGGAGTAGATGACACAGATCACTGGGACAAGGGTCATCCCGGGAAGCAGGTGGCAGCCAGGTACCCACTCCACCCCCAAGTGACATGCAGGTCTAGACTTCCGGTCCCACCGGTAGAGCACATTTGGGTGAAAAGCATGACAAGAGTTTTCAGTGGTAAGAACTCCTCCAGGCCGAATGGTGGAGCATTTGCCCAGCGTGTTCAAGGCCCTGTGTTCAGTCCCCAGCACCACACACACACCTCCTGTTATCTCAGCCCTGTCTATGTGGTCAGGGCTGAAGTTTACGCTTAGAAGTTGGGGAGTTCTCATTCCGTGGGACACCACTTCCTTCCAACAGGGCAGGAAGGAGCCTTTCCCTTGATTCAGGTTTCCTGATGACGACATTGATTCTCAAGAGGCAGCCGTCAAAGGGTCAACTCTGTGACTAAGTGGAAAACTACAGCTTATTGTTAGAAACCTTCTTAGAACTGATGTGAAAACCAACCTTGCCATAAAGTCTCTAAAGATACATGTGTGCACCTGCCGGAATCTTTCATCTCACGTATTCCTCAGCAGGGCTCTCACTGGTAAAAGCTCATGCAAAGCGACGTTCTTGTTGACATTTTAAGAAGTAGGCACTTGGGACCAGGGATACAGCTCAGCAGCACAGTGCCTGCCTGGCAAGATGAGGTCATGAGTTCAAGTCCTAGTACCAAAAAAAAAAAAAAGAAGAAGAATTAGGCACAGAGCCCTCTTCCTCCAGACTGAACCTTCCGCAGAGGAAACAGCAGTAATCACTAAACCATAGTCGCCGTGGCCCACGTTACATTCCAGGAGCTTCGTATGAGGCATGAGATCCCATTTTTCAGAAGAGAAGACTGAGGACCAAGAAGGTTGACCTCTAGCCTCTCTTACACAGGCAGCAAGGGGGACTTTAGCAACCTGGAGAGCTGACAACGCCGGGCTGTGTGGTGGGTGCCACGCTGCGGACCACACGACATCCTGGCCAGCATGCATTGCGGCCTACAGGTCTCTGAGGCCGCCTCAGTGAGTGCAGAGAAATCCACTTAGATGACTGCAGCACCTACGGAGGGCAGAGCAGGTCCCACTAAGCCAAGTGCTACACCAGGTTTTAACAACAGTGGAGTCAAACACTTGGCCTTCCTACAAACTTTGCAACTAGGGAAGTGTCAGGAGACAGCTGTGCCCCGCCCACTGGTGTGTCCCGGAGTCCTGCAGAGGCTGCATGTCTGTGCCCTCCACAGTTAGGCTTTCTCCAGAAAGGACCGGGTGGGACACGTGTGAGGCTCTGTATGCCATGGCCATGCCACTGTCCCCAAGGCTCAGGCCTAGCCAGACACAGCATGTTTCATCAAAAATGTTACAGACTCCAAAATAGAAACCTCATATACTCTGAGTTTCTCATAAGTGAAACCATATGATATTTGTACTTATGGGTCTGATTTATTCCACTTAAAGTTACAGTCTTAAGGTGCATCCGTTTTCTACAGAGGGCTCACGTTTACCCTTCTTTATGGCAGAGTAGTGCTCCATCCTGTGTAAATACCACATTCTTTATCCATCTTTCAATGGACATATATTGATTAAAACTATACAGTCCAGTTTTCACTTCGTGGGCTGTGCACACACAGGTCACGGGCCAGTCCTATGACTCTTCTGAGCGTCACATTTTATGAGTGGGGTTCTGGAAGGCTCCCCCAGGGTCCCCACTGTTTCTGCCTCATCATTTAGAATTGTGCCAGTGAAATCTTATAATCAGTGCCTCGTGCATGCATGTGGGGAGTGGCTTTGTTCTCCTGGCCCCAATATGTATGTGACAAGCTATCAACAGCTGACCCCTCAGCCCCACGCTGGCCACCTCACATCGGCCCTGCTGGGGAAGGCAGGGCAGGGCCAGCAGAGCCACCGGGGCTCTGCATCAACTTTGGCCTGCTGCAATGCAGCTGTGAATCAAACACCATCCCCAGCGTCCACGCAGTCCTTCCTGTCCAGGGGCAATGCAGCCTCAAGTGTGTGTGCTAACCCTCTCCCGTGTTTCTTGTTTCAGCTATTTGTACAAGAATGAGATCCAGTCAATTGACAGGCAAGCGTTTAAGGGACTTGCCTCTCTAGAGCAACTGTAAGTGTCGCTCGCCCCCTATGCCCGCTTCGCCCTCCTGTAGCACAGATGGACGCAGTGTGCTGCTGCATGATGCATGTCCGTAGCGACCGGGGGCAGGGATGCTGTGCATGGATGCGGAAGGCACCCCGGGTCGGTCACTCGTGCCCCTCCCATGGGCCCATCCCGTGTCCCCACCACAGCATGGACTGGGTGTTTTCCATACCCCGGGCCCTGGGCCATGCAGTCACCATTCCAAGAACAGTGATTGTTAGGTTCCCTGTCTCATGCTGGCAGACATGATGGCACACGCCCACAATCCCCACCCTCTGGGAAGCCGAGGCAGGAGGATCCCCAGTTCCAGCACAGCCTGGGCAACTTACTAACTTTAGTGAGACCCTGTCTCAAAATAGAAAAGGGCTGGAGCAGGAGCTTGGTGCAGACCCTGAGTTCAATCCCAGTACTGCAGTGAACAGACAAGCAAGCACGAGCCCGGAAACCTATGGGGCTCACATTTGCACAGAGTGGACCCGCACGCTGGGAGCCGAGTGAAGCCTCCAGTGGCAGTGGTGCAGTTGGAAGCTGTGTCCCTCACTCACTATGTTCCCTCAGTGATCTCGTGTGTGAGGTTCGATGTTTTCTGTGGTAGTGTTATTCTTTAGGGAGAGGTCAGCGCTGCCCTGCTGTGCACCCCAGGCCAGTGGTGTTGCTGTAACCGAAACCCAGAGCATCCTGCTCCTCTGCTATGCCCAAAGATGTGCTTTGCTGTGAAGCCTGAGTGTGCATTCTGCAGTAGAAAGTTCTGGTGAAATGAGTTTTTCTGGCTCGTTTGCCAGGCCCATCCTGAGCATCTTCGGATCTCCATGGTTTTATTTATGCATGGGGAAGGGTCACTTGCTGGATCCAGTGCCAACCCCTGCCACCCACTCCCTCTGCACATGTTGGACTGTCCTGTGATAGTCAGAAAGATGCTGGGTCCTCTGTGTCCAGAGAGCGCCGAGCAGCAGAGTGAACCCAGGTCACAGGCAACCTAGAGCAGCAGGAAGAGCTTCCACAGTGGTTCTGGGACTCGAATCCAGGCCTTGTGCATGCTAGACAAGCACTCTGTTCCTGAGCTATGCCCTAGCTGCAGGTGTTGCTCACGGGGCAGGACATGGATTGCAGTCCTGTGACCCTGTGCAGTCCAGGGTCCCCGTACCCTTGGGCTTTTTGGGGCACAGTACGAGAGAACAGACATTTCCAGGGGACACGGTGGGCTCAGCCCAGATGCTTGGTGAGCTGGTGCAGGGCTGTGGGGTCCCCACTGTGGGGTGTGGGTGTCCAGGTAAAAGTAGCAGAGCCTCAACTGACACTGTTGGGGGGAGATAAGCCCTACAGAGGCCTCGGGCTCTGTTTGTGGCCAGGGGCCACAAACCTGGTTTGGAGGAACTTAGAGCCCCTCTCCAGCCATGTGAGAAAACTCGGGTCCTACCAGGGAGGCTCAGAAGCGTGAGGCCCTAGAGCTGGCTAGGTGTGGTCCCTGGAATCCTGCCACTCTGAGAGACTGAGGCAGGAGGGTCACCACTTGGGACAGCTGAGTGAGACACTGTCTCAAACCATAAAAAGGGCTGGAATATAGCTGAGTATATAAAGGCCTTGGATTCAATCCTCAAGCAGAGAGGGGGAACTTGATAGACTAAATTCAGCTCTCAGGACTGAATTCAGCAGTGACCCTGGGGAATGTCGTCCTATGCTCAGTGCCCCCAGCTGCCCATGGTGCTGTGGTGGTGGCCAGGCCATAGCCCAGCTTGTCCGGAGTCCTGTGACCCTGACTCCAGGCCACCCTAGTGCTTCCGATCTCAATCCATTGGCTGCCTTCCTGGCCAGGCGGAAAGGCTCTCAGGTCAAGCCACTCACCCTGGGGCTTGCATGTCTACCTTTTCCTTCCTCTGTCACTCCCGGCACAGACAGGCCCCACGATGTGGACTAAGGACTCTGGTCATCTCTCCAGGATCTGTAGGTCATACACAGCCTGTGCTCTCCCTGCTCCACTCCTTCTGGTCCTGCACCCCTGCTCCCAACATGGACAGGGCTCCAAGGCTCTTGTGCTGTTCGTGTGACGTGGGGACAGCCTGTTCCTCAAGGAGCCTTGTGTCCCTGAGGGCAGCCACTGGGCCATCATCAAGCCCTCCCGTCTGTCATGGGACCAGAGAGCCCCCGTCCTTCCAAGGGAAGGTCTCAGAGCTGGTTTTATACCAGGGGATGGAGTGAAAGTTTGGGGACACTGAAGTAACATACTGCAATGCCTGTGTTCATGAGAACTTGGGGAGCAGCACTGTGTGGAGGCCCTGACTGCACACGCTGGTTCTACTGTGACTCCCAGAGAGAAAGGGGGCGCAGTGTGTGACTCCCTCTGTTTTTACAGTGGGTCTGTTAGTATTCAGGGAAACTGAAAGAGACAAGCTCTCCCCAGAATCCCTGAGCCACAGGAAGTAAGGCAACGTCAGAGAAAGCCACACAGACCCTCGGTTCTATTCTATATGACAGAGGACGTCCCAGGGGACGCCATCCTGTGGTCTCCCAGTGGTGTTTCTTACAAGGCCCCTGTGCTGTCCGCGTGGCTGGCGTGTGTGCAGCGTGTAATCCAGGTCCACACGGCCACTGGAAGATGCGCGCACAGGGATTCAGATCCAGCGTCGTGAGCGGCCTCCGAGGTTGTGTCTTCCGCTTTGTTCTTGTTCGGTTTCCCCGTGCTTTGTAGTGAGTGTGTCAGGACTGGGCCACCATCGCTCCCGCTGGGTGTCGTGGAACCAGATCGGCCCATGCCCACACTCATGTTTGCCACGTGTCACAGCGTATGGTGATCTGTCTGTGCCTGGTTTCTAGTGGTTTTGGTCTCCTGTGTCGATCTCCATGGTGTCGGATGTGTACGGTTACGTCCTGGCATATGAGTATGAGTGAGTGGCCTGGAAGGAATTGGATAAGCAGAAAATCTGGGTCCCAAAAAGTCACTAAATTGTTTAAGTTGCATTTCTTTTTCTTTTTCTCTCTGTTTTTTAAAACTCCTCTAGGTATCTGCACTTTAATCAGATAGAAACTCTGGACCCAGATTCATTTCAGCACTTACCGAAGCTCGAAAGACTGTGAGTTGTGTTGTGTTCCTGAGTTTTGTGTTTTTCGGGCCTGGGCCCCATCCACTTGTGACTTTGATAGAGTCAGGATAACAGAAGCCAGAGGCCCTTTGGGAATTTGGGGGTAAAAACCTGCCTTCCTGGCTTAGCAAGACAGAAGGCAGATTTGCGATTTTCTCTTTCTGTAGACACAGTGATAAAATCAAACATAAGCTAGAAGCTGGGGCTGGGGCTCAGCGGTATAGTTCTTGCCTTACACGCATGAGACCTTGGGTTCAATCCCAGTACCCGAACCATTTTACTGGCCTAGAAGAGTCCAGTTTCCACATTCACGCACTTGCCATCAGCGTAACCAGCAAAGTATTTTTAAAAAGGCTGATGTCATTTGACAGCTCGCACCCTGGTTTATCTAAGAAGTATTTTTTAGAAATTGGTTTGTGTTATCTCTTCCGACAGATTTTTACATAACAACCGGATTACACATTTAGTCCCGGGAACATTTAATCACTTGGAATCTATGAAGAGACTGTGAGTATAGTGAGCCCTGCTGCGTGGCTTTGCTGGGAATCTGTCACACACCCGCTGGGGTCTCTCTGCCAGGCACTGGGAAGTGTTTCTAGGGTCAGGAAAATTCCAGGAAAGAGGCCAAGCACAACTTAAATGTGTTCTCGTGCAAGAAGGCGAGTGGGTGACAGAGAATATGAAAATAAGCCTTTTGTAGGTAGCTCAGACACTTCAGAGCCACCTTTCAGCTCCTCCATGAGCTTCTAATTCCACAGCGCGTATTTCACAGGTGGTCGGGCCCTGCCTCTTGTCTCCACGTCTTTCTTCTGTTCCTTTCCCTCATCACAGGCTTGACTCATTCTGCTGCAGCTAAAGCCTGCTGTCTTGTTTTCAGGGACCCCCAGATCATGCTTTTTATGCTGAGACTTTCTTTAATAGAGTCCAGCATTTGGGTGCTGATGGAGAAGTCACTGGACACTGTGTCCTCCCTAAGGTCTTGAAGGCACAGTTCTCAGACATAGCACAGTCCAGCATCAGCAGTGACCGCTAGACCCAGACACAAAACCCAGAGAAGCCGCTGTCCTCCCCAAGCGACTTCTGTGTGTTTTCTTCTCTCTTCAGTGAGACAAAGTGGAATAAAGCATAGACCTTGGTGTAGTTTTCTTCTTTAAAATTTATAAAGATAAAATCGCCAGCCAAACTAAGATCTGCATTCTAAGTAGAAGATAGGACAAACACTTCTATGTTGGACAGATAAGAAGGGAGAAAGAAATTTCTGGATAAATAGAAAAGAACCAAGCCTGGCTGAGGCAGAGGGCTGGGACTCAGGAGGACATCTTCTAGGATCTCCCAGGAGGAGGACAGCAGGAGTCCTGTTGATGGCACCAGCCATCCACCCTGACACTGTCCTTCCCTCTCTGCATGCTCTGTGTGGCTCAAACAGGACCCTCTAGATTTGGACTCAGCAGCAGTTCTGCCACGCTGCCCATCTATCCCGAGTGGTGTCCAAGCCCCGAGCCCAAAAGGCCTCACTGAAATGCCCTTTTACCCCATTGCAGCACTCACATCCCTCCACAGGCTCAAGGGGCAGGCAGGACTGGCCGGGTGCTGTCTAGCTACTGCCCACCACTGCCCCTGCCCTGGCCTTCAGGGTCCTGGGACTCAGCCACAGTACAGCGGATCACCTAGCAGTGAGTCCCCTGATAAATGGCTGTCCCATCCTCCTGTGGTGTCTGCCCCCTAGAGCTGCATCCTGTCTGCGCAGAGATGCTGCCTGCTTGGTGGCAGAGGCTGATGGCCAGGCCAGGTGGCTCAGTGCCCTGGTCCCCACTGAGCTGATGCCCTGGAGAAAGTCGGATGAGTGTAAAGTCCTCAGGGGTACTGAGTCTGCAGTATAGACCTGAACCCTAGCCTGATATCCTGGGTGAGTCCCTGCCGGGCTCTCAGTGGTCGGCCTGAGTATGAGTCACCTTTCCAGTGTACACAGGTGGTGGAACCAAGTGTTCCCACCTGGGACTTCTTTCTCAGGGTGCAGGAATGTCCTGTTTCTTCTGATTCAGTCAGTGCCAGGAGTTAGGGGAGCCCAGAAGTTTCAGGGATCCTAGACCTCACCCCACAGGGTGATACACCCTAACATCTCGTTCTCTCCACAACCTGTGAGAACAAAAATGGGGACCCCACAGTGCCCTGGGTGATGAGGAACTGGCATCAGGGAGGCTTTGGGTTATACCTTTACCATTGACTCAAGGGAGCTTCTCCAGCCTTACTGGTCCACGCTTGCCTCTGATTTAAGCTCAGAACCTGACACGGTTTCAGATTCTGCGCCGGGAAGCCAGTGCTTAGTTGGTGCAGGACCCCAGTCTGCTGGGCTCTCATAACTCCTTGGGTCTTTGTGACTCCTGGGTCTCCCTGGCTGCCCCCTCCCCAGGCGACTGGACTCGAATACGCTTCACTGTGACTGTGAGATCCTGTGGCTGGCGGATCTGCTGAAGACATATGCCCAGTCAGGAAATGCGCAGGCGGCGGCCACCTGTGAGTCCCCCAGACGCATCCAAGGCCGCTCGGTGGCCACCATCACCCCCGAGGAGCTGAACTGTGGTGAGAAGCCGGGCGTGTACCCCGGTCAGTGGTGTGAGGGGTGGTATGCGTCTTGGGCCACCATAGGCCACATCTGCTTGGTGGCTTCTGGACAGAGAAGGGCTCTGCTTGTGGACCTGGCCCTGGTGTCTGAGCCTAGGTTTTGTTTCAGGTGGCCCTGCAGGAACAAGCAGAGCCCATTGTACCCAGGCTGCTGCTGGCTGTGCCTGACCCAGCCCCCCTGGGGGGGTGCAGTGGGGTAGTGATTCTGGGGTAGCCATTAGGGGAACTCACCAGAAATAGACATGAGGGGCTAGATGGAGGCTAGCCCTGTGCTGTCAAGAGTGTAATAACCCCACTGTAAAACTTATCCAGAGGGGGCTGGGGATTTAGCTCAGCGGCATAAGCGCCTGCCTTGCAAGTGTGCGTTCGTGAGTTCGATTTCTGGTACCAATTAAGGAAAAAAAAAACTTATCCAGAAGCCAGGCATGGTGGCACATGCCTATAATTCCAGCACTTGGGAGGCTGAGGCAAGAGGATCGTTGCAAGTTTGAGACCAGCCTCGGCTACAAAATGAGCTCAAGGCCAGCCTGAACTGTATAGCGAGACTGTCTCAAAAGATCAAAGAAATAAAATTAAAATCACATTATCTAGAAAGAACAAGATCGAGTCAGACCACAGTGCATGATCTTTCTTTTAAATGTCCAAATCCTAATTGTGTTCAGTTTCCTCTTTTAATTCAGTTGGGTTTTCTTTCTTCTCTTTGGCACAAAAGTTAATTTTTTGGTGCTGGGCATGGTAGTGCACACCTGTAATTCCAGTGCTTGGGAGACCAAGTTAGGCGGAATGCCTTGAGTTCAAGGCCAGTTTGTAGCCAAAGAAAAGCAAAGAAATGTTTTTCAGTTCTTTGTCCAAAGCATCATTAGTATTTTAACAGAAAAACAACCTAAATGAAAGTTAACCGGGGATGTAGGTCGGTAGCACAGCAGCTGTCTGCCAAGCTCGAGGTCCTGGGTTGGATTCTTGGTACCATAAAAGGAAAAAAAGAATGAAAGTTAAAAATCAGTACATTTGTGAGTGACCTCACTGACAAAGGGACAGATATTTGTCACCATCTGTTTTTATAAACTTGAGCCCAGCCCCCTTTTCAGTCTCCTTGTGTGGAAAGGTGACTGCCTCTGGTGGCATTCCCTGCAAGCTGCCCCTAGCATGAGCGTATGTTCCTTTGGTGTTTGGGGTCTGTGTCTCTGGGTCCCCAGCTCTGAATCACTTGCCTGCTTCTGCCTTGATGTCCTCACCCTTTGTGCTGGACAGACTTTCCCCAGTGCCCAGCAGTTGTGGTCTGGGTATACAAGGTGCCCTGTTCTTGGCTCCCAGAAGGCCACCTGTCTGGGGACCCTCGTTCTGTGATCTTAGCACTGATGACTACACTTTGCACCCAGGAGATGTCAGTTCCAATGCAACGTGCTGCTTGCACACACGTATGCACATACATGTTCGTGTATGTGTTGGTGCTATCTTATCAGTACTCATAGCATGTGTGTGGCAGACCAGTGAGTGCCTGGTAGCAACCAGTGGTCAGACCAAGGCTTCACACTGACCCTCCCCCGAGGCTGGGAGCTGTCCAGAGTGGGTGATTGGGATAGGGCTGACAGGAGGGATGTATGCTCCCTCCTGAAGCTAGAATGAAGGTAGGTGGGTCGTGGAGCCTGGGCTCTGCACCCTGCTGGCCACTCCTTACTTAGTCACTCAGCACTGGCCTTGCTCCTGAGGGCATGGAATGACCTCGGAGCCCGCTAGATCTGGTTTGTGCTGTCCCCATGATGGTATCCCCAAGATGGAGAAGAATGGAGTCTGCATGCTGGGCAATCTTCATGGGGATGTTGGTGGTCAAGACGTATCTGCATGTCTTGATCGTGAGGTTGGGTCTGGGTTCTCACACTGCTCCCTCCGAAGTTTAAACTAATGAGGTCTCCTTTCATCATTGGATGTAGAAAGGCCCCGGATCACATCAGAGCCACAGGACGCAGATGTCACCTCAGGGAACACGGTGTATTTCACTTGCAGGGCTGAGGGCAACCCCAAGCCTGAGATCATCTGGCTCCGAAACAAGTAAGTGGTGTGCCAGCAGAGGTCCCTGGGGTGCAGGAGCGGTGCCTTTCCTGGAGTCCCATCCCGACGCCTGCGCTCCCCACTGCAGCTCAGCATCCCCCTCCCGGGTGGGGAAGGTTAAAGGAGAACACTGGCATCTCCTCTTTACATGACAGTGGGACAGGGGACACTCCTGTCCCCAGGCCCAGTTCCAGACCAGCCCTGGTCCCTCCCGGCGCTCAGCTGGGGCAGGAGCTAGGGGAGGCTGTTTTTCATCCTTATTGCTTCCCTATCGCCAAGGAACTCTGGTGTAAGGTGGCTCTAGACCTGGGCTAGGTGACCGGAGCCAACAGCATGAGGACCTGACCTCTCCGGTATGAGGGTCACGTGATCATAGGGTTAGAGACAGAGACCTCGGCAGAAATCAGTTTGGGTCGCTGGGGACGTCTGAGTCAGGTCACCCAAACAAGGTGGTCAGCCTTTCAGACACTGACCCTGTCACCTGCTCCTCCCACCAGAGCTGGGTCCCAGAGCAGATGCTAGTCTCAGTCAACCAGTGCTGCAGGGACTGAGAGCTGCCAAGTGGCATTGGAGAGCTAGGGACACACAGACTCAAGGTGCGTGGAGCTGCAGAGACCTCAGAGCTGGTCCCAGGCAGGACAAGGTCCCCCTGACCAAAAAGTCCCCCTGACCTTGGACTACATACCTTGACCATGGGATGTGTAGGGCAGGTGGGAGGTGCCAGCAAGGCCTCTAAAACCTCGGTCTTCGTAACTTTGAGGTCTCAGAACCAAGAGTAGCAGGCCTAGGGCTATCTGCCCACTGTATCCCTCTGCTGGGGGACATCCAGGTGGTTCTATGAGTGTAGTGAGGAAATAGTTCAGCTGATGCTGGGGCATCTAGGGTCAGGCTTTCCTTACCCGTGCCTTTGGAAACTAAGGCACAGGAGTGCCCAGCATTGAAAGCGATACCTGATCTGGGCTGAAGGGTGTGGGCCAGGGTTTTTAATGTGGCTTTGTTGTCCCAAGCTCTGGCACTGGGTGGAGAGGGGGCTTCCCTGACTGACTGCCCTGCCCAGGTGGCTCCCTTGTGATCTGGTTTTGTTTTTCTTTTTTTTCTCTCATGATTGGGAACATCAGACCTCAGCTCTGTGAGCTTCCCAACAGAAGGAGCAAAAGCCAGGTCACTTGGTGAGAAAGGGATGAGCGAGGGCCCAAGGTGTCACATGTGACATTGGTGTGGTGCAGAAGAAGAGTGCCCCCTTCCCCACCCCAGGAATTTGGAAGGCAGGGACCTGGACACCTCGGCCTTGAAGTTGTCTAAAATGAGGTGGCACCCCAAGTGTGTTGTATGTCCTGGAAGGAGAAAATTTCCCCTGATTTTTCTCTACTGTGTTTGTATGAATTTTTTCCTTTTGGAGTTAGGACCACACTGTAAAGCATTTAGATGGACAGATTGGGTGCACAAACTGAGTAAAGGTCCAGGCATGAAGACGCTTTCCCAGAAATGCTTGTACCTCAGAGGAGGTGGGTGCCTGGGAGGCCAATGCAGCCCTCCTGTGCTTCCCACCAGAGTCACCACGCCCTCCCCCGAGGGTAGACAAGGCATTTCCTGTGCTTCAGACCCTCAGCTTCTCCGACTCTGTCTTTTAGTAACGAGCTGAGCATGAAGGCAGATTCTCGCTTAAACCTGCTGGATGACGGCACACTCATGATCCAGAACACGCAGGAGACTGACCAGGGCATTTACCAGTGCATGGCCAAGAACGTGGCCGGGGAGGTGAAGACACAGGAGGTGACCCTAAGGTACTTTGGATCTCCAGGTACGTGGAGGGCATGTCACGTATGATCCTTGCCCCCCCCCCCCAAACTGTCCCCTGCCTATTTCCTTGTTCTTCCATACCAGCTTGCTCTTGATAGAAACGTGAAAGTCACAGGGCCAGAACGGGCAGTGCTGTACCAGGGCCAGCCAACAGGATCACAGGCGCTCCATGAAGGTTGCTGTGGCCCATGATGGGCCCATATCAGGGAAGCTCAGGGGACCATTACCTCAACCTTACCTACCCTACCAGGTCTCAGCTGGTGCTGCATTTTGTTGGTGAGCTTTTGTTGGCTAAGGGCTCAGATCCCCTAAAAGAAGATAAAAATATTAGAAATTTTAGCTAAAGTTACACTGTGCAAAATGTTGGCATGTAATTTCGAGAATGAGAAAAGCCTGTCCCAGGCTGTGTCCTCTGGTCATGGCCTCCATGATCATGAATTTTGCCCTGATCCCTGATCCCTGTGCTCTAGTTTCTGGAGTGTTCAGCAGAGGAGCCAGGAGAGCAGGTTTGTGCCCCCTGAAGTGTGGTCACTGTGGTTCTGGGGGATCACGTGCAGCTATAGAGCCGCAGCCCTGCACTGGCTGGTCTTAGCTCTGTCCACAAATGCCCAAGGGCTGGTGTCACCCTCTGTTTTGTATTTCATGCCAGGATATGTGGTTCCATGTGTTTGTGTCTGTTCAGATGCTCAGCCCCTTACAAACCAGCCTGATGTTTGCCACACTGCTGTCCCCCATCATAGACAGAGGAACGAAAGAGCAGTGTGGGCTTGCAGAGGAAATCTAGAGGCAGTTACTGCTGCGGAAGTAAAACCCTTAGACTCGCAGCCCTCCAGGTTTCCACGCAAGGCAGCTAGCATGTCTGCAAAGCCCCACAGAACGCAGCTCCTGCTTGCAGGAGGAGGCCATACTGCCTTTGTGAGGAATAAATTAATCCCTGATGCGGGCAGGCAGCAAAGTAATGCTATGAGTCCTTGGCACAAAGCAGAGGAGACGGTGAACATGAGCTCATTAAGGAAAATTACTCTGTGAGCAGTTAAGTGGCTCTGGACAGAACATCCAGCCACTCTGTGCATCCCAGAGCTCTGAGTTTACCTCCTCTTCATCTGAATCTGTCTCAAGAGCGGCCCCAACCCTTGAGATGAGCTGTGAACCTCAGGGTGGGGGCCAGCCTGGGGTGACCAGACTGTTCCGTCTTCTAACGTCCATGAATTGAGAGAAGAGTTAATATTTTTCAGTGACTGAAATGCTTAAGCAGCTTTGATGACACAGGATGGTTATGCAAAATGATTTTTGAGTGTCTCCAAGTTAAGTTTTATTGGCACATAACCCACTCTTCTTTTTCTAATGTGTTATCTGGGTGGCTTCTTCGGTGAGCTAGCAGAGTTAAACACCAGCACAGACCCTAGAGTATCCTCAGCTGTCTTCGTTTATGTGCTATATGAGTTTTTGTGTGGTCTTTGTGTATAAAGCACTGCTTATTCTGTCTTGCCTCACTCTCCTTCGTTCTCCTGTTTCCCCTTTTTTCTCTCAGCCCTCCCTCTATCCCCTTCTTCATCCTTCACAGCTCTCTCTCTGGTGGTCACCACGCTTTTGCCTGATGTTAGGAGAGATGGATACCAAACCCCTGCAGCACTGGAACTTCCCCAGGATACCACTTTCTCTCTAACCCTTCCTCTTCCTGGTGGTGAGGGTCTGGGGGCTCAGCTGCAGTTCTCACTCTGACTCCTCTCTGGGCCTTGCTTCTGATCTTGTCTCATTCTGTGCCTCACTGAAGGTTCCTTCATGCAGAGTTCGGTCCTGAGGTTCTGCAGAAGAGCTTTGATGTCGTTCTGGTCTCCAGTACCTTCACACACTCTGGTTTGCCACTGTAGATAGCAACACTGGAATTAACTGTCATGTCTGTGTGTTTGATAACTGACATTCATTGAATGCCACTTAAACAGGGACAGGATGAAAAAGCTGCAGGAAAATCCAGCCTGTCTCTCCAAGTCCCGTTCACACAGTTCCCATCCTGTCATCCCCTGCAACACACACACCTCCGATGTTGATTTCTTCTGGTTCCTGGCTGAATCATCATTCACGCAGATAAGAGTGGTGCCTTGGTTCATGGACTGACTTCTTTCCAGAATCTGGTTGCAAACTGAGTTGGACAAGAACTGAATTCAATTCAGTGCTTATGTTCAGTGTTGACCTTAAGGGGAAAATTGATTCAGTTCTCATCTGATTCAGTTTGTGATCAGAGTCCTAGAAAGAATTAAATTTGTGGACCGAGGTACCACTGGACTTCCAGATATTTCCCAGATCACTAACTATCACAGCTTCCTGTATATCCTTCACTCAAAGCATCTTGGGGCAGCTGTTGTTGGAAATTCAGAAATTTGGGAACATTTTTTAGAAACATTATGTGAGACATAATCCAATTAACAGCTCACACTGCCGGCCCGGCTTTGGACTGTCCGTGCCCTGTAGTAAGTGTATCAGTGCCCTGCTGCAAGCTGTTTATCGACAGGAAATAGAATAAATAAAGTCAAGAGCTGACCTTGTGCATCATGGGTTAAATTTCTTGAAAAAAAGATAATGGCTTTCGAAGCTTTTCGGAGACCAGCCTTAGGGATAAGGGGTAGTTGCCCCAAAGAAAGGTTAAAGAGGGTATTTGCATGTAAGTCATCTTCTGTGCCTACAAGACACATCCGAGGGTTAAAACCAAGCACAGGGCCAGGGATTTAGCTCAGAGGTGTAAGTACCTGCCTAGTAAGCGCTAGGTTTCAAGTTCAATCTGAGATACAAAAAAAACCAGCCAGCACAGCGATTTCTGGGTAGAAGAGTGTGTGTATGGCTACTTGTGATGTCCACTTGTCTCTCCAGATGGCCCGTGTCACTTTAGAGGCCTGCTGTCAGTGTGGGAGAGCCCTGCATCCACACAAACTCAGCATAAAACACATTAGTAAGCCTGTGGGAGTTTCCCTAGCCTTGTCTGAAAGACATTCTCTCAGAGTAGTCTTAATTTTCCTTGTGTGATGTAACATATTTTATAAGGTCTGCATACACAATACAAATAGTATTTTGTGCCAGAGGAATTAATAGCAAAGGCTAACAAGTCTGGTGTCATGTGTTTGGAATAAACGCGAGTTCTCCATAGAATCAATGTGCAAGGCCGGGAGTTGAGCTCTGGCATGGCGCCTGCCTGGCAAGCGTGCGGTCCTGAATTCAGTTCCCGGTTACCTCCCCCAAAAGAAAAATATCTCACATGCATCTAAAAAAGGGATCAAGTTCTTTTTCATCATTGTTATTGCTCAACAACTGCCAGCTCCTTTTTTTAAAAATAATTTTTGAGATACAGCTCACTCACCAAGTGACTTAGGCTGGGCTTGCTTCAGATCTTCCTGCCTCAGTCTCCTAGACCGGTGGGATGACTGACAAGCAGTAACATGCCCAGCAGCCTGTCTTTGTTTGACCTGAGTCTTGTTTTTTGTTTTGCTTTGCTTTTTGGGTCTCACTGTGCAGTTCAGCCTGCCCTTGAACTCCCTACATAGCTCAAACGGGCCTCAAACTCACAGCTACCCTCCTGCCTCAACCTCCTGTAATGGTGGATTACAGGCATGTGCCACCATGCCCAGTTTGTGGATCATTTTTATCACCTGCACATTTTTTTTAGGAAGGAAAGAAAAGTAATGCGGTCACATTTTATTCTTTTTGCTTACGTTGGAGTTAGGTTGAATGAGTAGCCTGAAAGTAGAAAAGTACCAAGCGAAAAACTGGAAGAAACTAACAGAAGCTTTCTGCTCACGGCAGCGAGGCTGGCATTCGTGATCCAGCCACAGAACACAGAGGTGCTGGTGGGCGAGAGCGTCACCCTGGAATGCAGCACCACGGGCCACCCCGCGCCACAGATCACTTGGACGCGAGGGGACCGGACCCCCTTGCCACCTGACCCCCGGGTGAACATCACTCCCTCGGGTGGCCTCTACATACAGAATGTCGCCCAGGAGGACAGTGGAGAGTACACATGCTTAGCATCCAACGGTGTGGACAGCATCCACGCCACGGCCTTCATCATCGTCCAGGGTGAGCGACAGAGGGCGATGTCAGGGTACCCAACCCCCTTCCCTTACCATGTCAGAACCCCAGTGTCTGGAGCAGCCTGTGTCCTGGCTCCACCCCAGCCTGTCCTCTTGGGTCCCTTACCCTGCTTCATTTTTAGGCGTAACACTTACCCCATGTGTGTATGAGTCTCTTTCACATTGCTGGGACAAAAGTACCTCACCGCAACTGAATGGAGAAGTTTATTTTGGCTCATGGTTCAAGGGGTTCTGTCAGTGGTTGAATGCTTCCAAGGTAGAAATGGCATAGCAGGGACGCCCAACAGAGGAAAACTGCTCACTCCATGGCAGCCAAGAAGCAGAGAGAGAAGTGGGGAGCCAGGGACAAGAATGCACCCTTCCAGGTCACACTGTGGTGACCTCCTCCAACCAGGCCCCGCCTCCTACAGCACAGTCAGTCATGAAACCCATTCATGGATGGATCCACTGAGAAACCCAACACCCCATGCTCCAGCCACCTCCCAAAAGCCCAACCCTTGATCCCAGGTAACTCTGGAGGTCATACCAGACCTAAAACATAGTGTGACCTAGTCACAGGTGGATTTTCTGGCGTTGGCCAAGACTGCTTTGGCAGTGGGTTCTGAACCCCAGGTCCTGGCCTGCAGACGCTGCAGAAGTTCACACAGGCAAAGTCGTCAGTCCCCTGTAACCAACTTTGCATCTATGATGTCGGACCTTGATCATGGGAACAAATAGTTTTCACACTTTGCCTGTGTGTTTCCAAATCATTCAGCACCCTTAAAAAGCAACATGTGAGTTTCTAGAAAAGCCAAGAAATGTGCAGTCTAGAGGAACTAAAAGAATCCAGAAGTGAAGAGCTCAGACAGCTACCAGCTAGGCTCATACCTACCTCTAACCATTTCCTGCCCCACTGACCATTCCTTGGGAATCGTCTTCTAGTTTTCCTTGCATGGGAAGCTGTGCTTCCTTGGTGTGAGGTTTTACTCTTCTGTGTTTCTTACTCTTGTAAAAATGCACTCCTGCCCAATACCCTGTCCCGGACCTCATTTTTATATCCAGTAATAATAACTTTTGTCACTATCCACAGTGCAGCAGGTGACATGTTAACCATCTGCAATTTTAACTTAAGCTGTGTAATGAAATGAGGCGAGTCTTTTTTTTTTGGTTTGTTTTTTCCCAGCTAAACCTGGGTTTGAACCCAGGGCCTACACACTAAACTACATCACCAGTCCCTTTTTTAAAATTCTGAGACAGTGTTTTGCTAAGTTGCTTTATTCCCTAAGCCAAGCTCAAACTTGCAATCCTTCTCCCTCAGCCTCTCAGAGTGCCAGAACTTGAGGAGTCTTTCGTGGCTGGTTTGCTGTCTCTGGCTGAAGTAGGCTGGAGCAGGCAGTTCTCCATGTGTTAGTACATTGCCGCTAGCCAGCTTCGTAGACTAAGGCCTTCTGTAATCTCTGTGTGATCCTCAGGATGTGCCTGTCATGTGATGCTCTTCCTGCCTCCTTTTCGTTTCTGTCTTAAGTATCCTCACTGCAGCCACAGCTGCAGCGGCTTCCAACCCTGGCCTTTTGTGTTATTTTAATTTTTGCATGGGTTCTTCACCCAGCGCTGTCTCTAACTGTCCTGTCTCTAACTGTCCTGCTGACAATGTTTCTCCTCCAAAGCTCTCCCGCAGTTCACGGTAACGCCTCAGGACAGAGTGGTCATCGAGGGGCAGACAGTGGATTTCCAATGTGAGGCCAAGGGCTACCCCCAGCCGGTTATCGCCTGGACCAAGGGAGGTGAGACGCCCGCTCAGCCAGACAAACCCAGCATCTTCCAGGCCAGGCTAAGATGAGCCACAGCCCACGAGAAGTGGCAGTGTCACTGTGAATGCCATGGATTTCATGATTCATGGCAAGGATGGCCAACAGGACTTAGGGTGCCAAGATACAGACTGAACAACTTGCAAGATGGACCTTCCTGAGTCCTTTGTGCCCTGGGTTAAACAAAGAAGGGACCTTTATGCTCTGACCCCAAGCTCTCGGCCCTCGGGGTGCGGGGACCCTCCCTGGACACCCTGTAATGTGCGTGCAAGCCCCCCGTATGAGGTCTGCTGTGTGGGTGAGTAGGACCTGCTTCCCAGTGGCTGTGTCATAGCCCAGCTCTCCCCATCCTGAGGGCCCATCATCCCCTGCCCGTGCCAGCTCTGTGCTTGTGCGACCCACACCCACCCTTGCAGGGAGCCAGCTCTCCGTGGACCGGCGGCACCTGGTTTTGTCCTCTGGCACACTCAGGATCTCTGGGGTGGCCCTGCATGACCAGGGCCAGTACGAGTGCCAGGCCGTTAACATCATTGGCTCCCAGAAGGTCGTGGCCCACCTGACCGTGCAGCCCCGAGGTAGGCACCAAGTTGAGGCTCAGCAGAATCGCTGGGCCGGGGGTGCTGGGATGGCACCCAGAAAAGTGCCCTGCCTGCCCCAGCCATTCCTTCACCTGTAGACAAGAAAGCGTGGCTCCAGCTCCATTTCCTTCCATTGAACGTCAGCTGCTGTCCAAGCACCGGAGTCCTCAGTGCCCACTATGGAGGGTGTGGGCATCTGAGCTCTGGGCAGAGGACCTGGTTACGCTTGTGATGTGCTTTTGCCACCTGGGCAGGATGTGGGAGGAGTGGTCACTGCTGGTACCTGGGCCCCTGCTCCACACAGACGCCAGTCACAGTGACCCAGGGTGGATGGTGTGGTAACAAACTGCCCTGGCTTCTCTCCCCCACTCGCAGTCACCCCGGTATTTGCCAGCATCCCCAGTGACCTGATGGTGGAGGTGGGGACCAACGTACAGCTGCCCTGCAGCTCACAGGGTGAGCCAGAGCCAGCCATCACATGGAACAAGGTGAGAACTGTTCCTGCTGTGGAACTCGGGGTTTCCAGGGACAGCGGGCCTCCACTACCTTGTCCCTTCTGCACCCTCCCCACAGCAGAGACAAAGACCAGCTTGGGTCAGTTCCTTTCTCAAACTCAGGGCTTGCAGCATCAGGGCAAGGGATCTACCGCAGAGCCATGCTCCAGCCCAGCAGCCTGGCTCACAGATATCCTGGGAGTTAGGAAAAATAACCAACTCAACCCCTCATTTCCTGTTATCCAGCAGCAAAAGCAAAGAAAAGCTTGTGCTTTCACCCTACAGATCTCCCTGTGTAGTGCAGGCTGACCTTGCACCCACTGGGTAGCCCAGGCTGGCCTTGAACTGGCTGTGATTCTCCTGCTTCAGCCTTACCAGGGCTACAATTACGAGCATGTGCTACCATGCACAGCAAAATGGCTTTTTTAAATTCCATTTTTCTTTGCTCTTCTATTCAGCCTGATGCAAAATATACTGACCAGCACACACTATGTGCAGGACCTGCTTCCTGGGGGGAGGAGGTGACTGTGACTCCCCATGGAATGAAAGGTCCTGAGGCCCCAGCTTTCCCCTGTTGCCCCTATCTTTACCCCCCAACTTGTCCTTCTGCCCAACCTGCTCCCTGGCTGGGTACAGGGCTTGTGCGTCCTGAGTCTGCCTCCAAATCAGGGTACCCTTGGTGCCCATCCCTCAAGAACACCCTACCAGAGCGAGTAGCCCACGGGAGTTACTGTGTGTACCCCAAAACTCACAACAGCTATCTGTACTCCGCCGTGAAGTAGGCAGAGGACGAGTGGGCAAGAAGAGCTTGCCCCTCTGAGCCCCTGGCCTTCCACGGCCTCACGGGCCCCCCTCTGTCCCCCAAGAATCGCCTTAGCCCCCACCTCATTGCTGCTGCTGTCTCATTGCTTCGTTCCAGGACGGGGTTCAGGTCACGGAAAGTGGAAAATTTCACATCAGCCCTGAAGGGTTCTTGACCATCAATGACGTGGGGCCTGCAGATGCAGGTCGCTATGAGTGTGTGGCCAGGAACACGATCGGCCACGCCTCGGTCAGCATGGTGCTCAGCGTGAGCGGTAAGGCCCAGTGTGGGGGCCAAAATGCCCCCGTCTCTGCACCCCTAAGAAAACCAGTCCAGATGTGTAGATTGACTGAGAGATGGTGGGTCCTAAATCCACAGGCAGGACCCTCCCTCAGGGTGGGTATTAGTTAAGTTCCATCATTGACACAAGACACTTCCCCCAAAGGCAGAGAGGTTTATTTTGGCCCCTTGAGTCCCACCTCAGCTGACTGTGAGTCAGAAACTGGGAGAAGGGTGCACACAAAACACAGCTGAGTGCGATGTGGCAGCCAGGAAGCAGTGAGATGAGAGTGTACACCCTTCCAGCCACGTGCCAGTGACCACCTCCAGCCTGACCCACTCTGAGCAGTGAGTCTGCCCTGGATGAGTCCAGGGATGGATGTAGTGCACTGTGTACCCTCAGCTTTCACACCCACGACACGCGATTATGCTGGAGTTGTAAAGGCACAGACAATCTCTCAGGGCCTCTGTGTCCAGCCCATTAGTGGCTCAGGGTCTTCTGAGAGCCCTGGGTGGTTAGGAGCGGCGGGATTGGGGAGAGGAGGGTAGAGACTGCTGCTTGCACAGCAAGCTGGAGACGGCTGGCAGGAGACGGGTTCTGTGACGCCGGAGCTCCTGGAAGAGGTCAGGGTGGCGGTCACCAAATCACAGTGGAAAGGCAACCCCTAAGGAAGTGGCGTCAGAGAGCAGGGACTCGCCTCAGTCACTCCCTGTGCAGCAGGAAGGAGAGGGGAGCCAGCCAGCCAGAGCAGCCAAGGCTGAAAGGTGTCAGGAAGGTCAGGAGGGTCTGCCCTGTCGTGAGGAGGGCCGTCCCAGGAGCTGGGGAAGGAAGCTTTTTGTTGTTGTCTTTTTGAGACTGGTTCTCACTATGCAGTTCAGGCTGGCCTTGAACTCACTTTTTAGCCCAGGCTGGCCTCAAACTCACAGTGATCCTCCTGCCTCAGCCTCCTGAGTGCTGGAATTACAGGTGTACACCAACAAGCCTGACTAGAAGCTTTTTTTTTTTTTTTTTTTTTTTTATACCAGGGGTCAAACTCACAACCTTGTACTTCCCAGGCAGGCACTTATGCTACTGAGCTATATACCTAGCCCTTGGCTGGAAGCATTTTAATAAAGTGGCTCCCAACTGTCTGAGTCTATAGATTGAGCATGTCTGTGTGGAAGGGGTATCATCATTGTCCATTAAGATGAACAAAGAGCCAGGTACAGTGGTGCATACCTGTAACCCAGCACTCCAGGAGGCTGAGGCAGGAGGTGGACAAGTTTGAACCTAGCCCATATAACTTAGTAACTTAGCAAGACCCTGTCTCAAAACAAACAAACAAAAAATAACAAAAGAGCTAGGAACATAGGAATGTAGCTTGGCAGGGAGGACCTGGGTTCATTCCCTAATTTTGCTAAAAGAAGAAAAAAGCAAAAGATGACCGTGGCTGGTGATGTGTGTAAAACCTCCCTGCTGTTATTATAACACTTGCCCACTTGTTCCTGTCTTTTCAAAGACTGCCATGTAACTCCAAAAAGTCTACAGTTTCCACACTGTTTGAAAACAGCTTTTAGTAGAGTTAGCGATAAAATCACTGGAGCTGTGATGTGAAAATAGCAACACGCCCCTTGCAGAGCGCACTCACTCCGTATGACGTAGCGTCTAGACACGATTGGACAAGTCACTCCAGTAGTGTTTTTCTGGTAATTTCTGACTTCATGTCTCCCCAGTTCCCGATGTCAGTCGAAACGGGGACCCGTTTGTGGCCACCTCCATCGTTGAAGCAATCGAGACAGTGGACAGAGCCATAAACTCGACTCGGACACACTTGTTTGACAGGTAGCTGGGTGGGGGCGGAAGGCCGAGCCTCAAGTGTGGGGTTGGGTTTCAGGCAGCCCCGCGGTGTGCAGAGCTCTGACCAGCTCCATTCCAAGAAAACCTTTGACTTAATACTCGTGAGCAACACTGACTCTAACCTTTCTGGGTGTTAAGATAATAAGGAAGATGTGTACTTTCCTAACGCAGCCTGAGCCATGATTCATGCGTTCTCTGACTAAGTAATTTGGCAAAAAGAAAAGCTTTTCCAAAGCACTCTGTGCACCAGCTCCCATTGACAATTCCAGCAGTTTCTCTGTCCTTTAATTGAAATGCAGTACCTGTGACTTTCTCTCTTGACTTAATTAATGATTTGTTTTTAGTGTCTCTTGGTTCTTGTCTGTCCGTTTGTTGTTCTTTTGCCTTCCGCTCCGGATGCGCCAGGTATAGTATAGCACGTGGTCCGCCGTAGCGATAGCAATATCCATAGCATCAGTACTTTCGAATTCTGGTGCTGTTCACTCACACTGATCTGTCTCCGTCCTCTTCTCCGCTCAGCCGGCCTCGCTCTCCCAATGACCTGCTGGCCCTCTTCCGGTACCCGAGGGACCCATACACCGTGGGACAAGCCCGAGCCGGGGAGATCTTCGAGCGCACGCTGCAGCTCATCCAGGACCACGTGCAGCACGGGCTGATGGTCGATTTGAACGGCACGAGTCAGTACCTTTCCCTGCTCTCCCTGCGCCCCCTTCTGCACCTGCCTGTGACAGGGCCTCGTGAGAGGTCTCTGCTCTCTCCTTCCTCATGCCTGTGAGCCAGGGCTATGCCATTTCAGTTTCTAACAGGAGGCTGTTGGTGAGGAGAACTTGCAGGTAGGGCTGTGGCAGATCCAACTGTGTGCCAAGCTGTTCCCCTGCAGGCTGTGACAATCCTGTCCTTGGGCGACAGAGAGATTAAAGGGAAGAGGGTTATAGATGAGTAGGGGCACCAGTGGCTGTTAGAAAGAATGGGTGTGAAGATCTTTGGCATCTACACAGCCACTAAGCAGAACATCTCGGATGTGCAAGGATGGTGGCCTTGGATTATGGCCCCTGCTGGACTTGAGCTCTGGCCACTGCAGGGATTTAAGTGCTGGCTTTCAATGTCACAATCACACTTGCAGCTGTGCTGATGATGGCCATGACTGTTACATGTGAAACATTTCTCTTGTCCCTTTCATCATGAATGTGTGTTTTACACACACACGTCTGAGCTTACACAGAGCAGCTGTCCTTGCAGTGTGAGCAATGCATGGGGTTTGACGCTAGGATCTGTTGAGTGCGTGACATGAAAGTGGGGTGGAGGTGAGGGCTCTCTGCCGTCCGGGAGTGGATGATGCCCTCAGCCAGGTTCCATCCTGCCACATCCAGAGCTGGACCTTGCAGGCCCTGAGGTGGGGTCCACCTGTGTGTGGTGGCAAAGCCTGGTCCCAGCCTCCCGGCACCTGCATCAACTAGAGGCCTCAGATGCTCGGCTTTCTCTTGGAGTGCAGCCACGGGCTTGGAGGCCCGTTTCTTTCTTTCTGAGAGTGTCTGTTGGGCGCATTCTGCCTGCCAGGCACAGGTCAGGTGTGGCTTGTGGCCTCCCCCAGCCCCCGCCCTTCCTGCATCTCTTCTCCCCTCTCATGTGGAGGCCAAGGCAGGCGTTCCTGGAGGTCTCTTCTTACTGCTTCCTGCTGCTCTTCACTTAGTTGCCATGGTGCTCCAGAGAGAGCTGGGCCAGACCCATAGGCTACCACGCTGCCCTCTGACTCGCAGCCCTGGGTCCTGGCCCTGCCTGGAGTTGCTCCTTGTGGGGGGTTGCAAATCCTTCTCTTGTTATTATACACCAAGTGGAGAATGATATGAATCTCAGGCACAGGGAAGAAACCGTAACTCCCCATCCCACTCCCGCCTCAGCTGTCAGCCCCACACGCATGCCTCGCACACCCCCTGTGCACTGCCTGGGCCTGGGGGAGCAGCAGCCTCAGCCTCAACTTCTGACATTTCAGGAAAGTGTAGGCATAAAGCAGGTTCAACCCTGGGGCTGAGGAGGCATAACCCTCGGGCAGAAGGGTCCCCTAGCTGGAGGACAGCAGATACACAGGCGGCAAGGAGGGACCGAAGGTCAGTGTGGCCAAGTGGAGGGAGGTGGGAAGAAAAGGGTAGGGACTTCAGGGTGCACTCAGATCAGGCTGTGCCCCATGGGTCTCGCACTGGGATTGATGCCGAGGGAGGCTGCGTCTCCAGGGGCCACGTGGCCTTCTCCTCTGCCTCTGCCGCAGCCCAGGAGCCCTGGAGGCACCAAAAGGCTTTTCCTTCCTGGCCCTCTGCTCCCTTGGTGCTTTTGCTGTCCCAGCCCCTCTGAGACCTCCCAAGAGCCACACCAGAGCTTCTCGCTGGGTTAGAGTGAGATGTGTGCCACCTCAGCCATCCACGATGGACAAGCAGGAGCCTGGGCTAGGGCAGCGATGGCTTGCACTCCTTACTGTGGGGTTTCCCTAGGTAGTGTTTCATGTTGTATCTCTCCAGTCTGGGAAGCCCCGGCTCCCTTCCTGTTGGGGTTCTGGTGGGGAGGTTTTCTGTGTCGTCCCATGAAGAGGGTGGTCTGTGAGTTTTTTAACACTGTAGGTCAGGTCTCAAGAGGCAATGGAGGCCCAGGACACCGCAGCCTGTGCATGCGTGTGTGTGTGTGTATCCTGTGTTGGTGTTCTGAATGTGTGCTCATGTGAGCATGTGTGCCTGGGTGTCTGTGTACATCAGCTTAGATGTGAATGCATGTGGGATTGCAAGTATGAGAGTGTGGACCTTTGACTCACATGTGTGGCTTGGGCACACACACATGATGCCATGCAGTGCGTGTGTGTGTGTGTGTGTGTGTGTGTGTATGTGTGCGTGGGCGCAAATGTGTGATGGTGTGTGTGTCTTTTTGTCAGGTCCTGGAGAAGGGTGTTAAAGCACAAAGCCTGGCCCTATGATTACCTAGAGGCAGCATTTAGAGGAACCAAGCCCTGAAGGTCTAACCCTGGGGTGTCTGGTAATCTCTGGGTAGGAAGAGAGGTGTCAGTGTGGGAGCCACATTCCAGGATAGGGAGTACAGGGTTCCCACTGTAGAGCAACACTGTCAGCTCACTGGAGCCTGTGCCCGAGACCAACCATAGGGTGATCACAGAGGGCTCTGCAGGCCAGCAGTCCTTAGGAATTGAAGGCGGCCTCCTGAGAGTGTGGCCCAGGTTGATGCCAGAGAGTAGAGAGGAAGGAGAGCTGCACCCTAGGAGTATCTTTAAAGGACTGAGCTTCCCAGGCTAAGGTGGCAGCCAGTGAGCCCAGGAGTTGACTTCAGCATCCAGGACTGGGCATCTGGGAAGTGTCCTTTTTGCACCACGACACGGGTGGTGTTGAGTTTTGTCTCCTCCCTGTTCCCTGAGGCTCTGATGATGCATTGAAGAGGAAAGTACGTGTGTCAGGACCTGGCCAATGACCGTGAGCAGCCACCACCTTGGAACTAAAGGTGGAAATGGAGGCCAGGGCACCATGCCAGGGAGTGGGCATGGGTGGGGAGGCCTGAGCTCTGCTGCACGGGGCTGGCACAGCTCTGCACCGACCTGGGACACTCACCTTGCAGGTTACCACTACAACGACCTGGTGTCCCCTCAGTACCTGAGCCTCATCGCCAACCTCTCAGGCTGCACCGCACACCGGCGTGTGAACAACTGCTCAGACATGTGCTTCCACCAGAAGTATAGGACCCACGACGGCACCTGCAACAACCTGCAGCACCCGATGTGGGGCGCCTCACTGACTGCCTTCGAGCGCCTGCTGAAGGCCGTGTACGAGAATGGCTTCAACACGCCCCGCGGCATCAACCCCCGACGGCTGTACCACGGCCACGCGCTGCCCATGCCACGTCTCGTGTCCACCACGCTTATCGGGACAGAGGCCATCACACCTGATACAGAGTTCACTCACATGCTCATGCAGTGGGGGCAGTTCCTGGACCACGACCTGGACTCCACCGTGGTGGCCCTGAGCCAGGACCGCTTCTCCGACGGGCAGCCCTGCAGCTCGGTGTGCGGCAGTGACCCACCCTGCTTCTCTGTCATGATCCCTCCCAATGACCCCCGTGCCCGCAGCGGCGCCCGCTGCATGTTCTTCGTGCGCTCCAGCCCAGTGTGCGGCAGCGGCATGACATCCCTGCTCATGAACTCCGTGTACCCACGGGAGCAGATCAACCAGCTCACCTCCTACATTGACGCGTCCAACGTGTATGGCAGCACGGACCACGAGGCCCACGCCATCCGGGACCTGGCCAGCCACCGGGGCCTGCTGCGCCAGGGCATTGTGCAGAGGTCCGGGAAGCCACTGCTGCCCTTCGCAACAGGGCCACCCACCGAGTGCATGAGGGACGAGAACGAGAGCCCAATCCCATGCTTCTTGGCTGGGGACCACCGCGCCAACGAACAGCTGGGCCTGACCAGCATGCATACGCTGTGGTTCCGGGAACACAACCGCATTGCAGCCGAACTGCTGGCCCTGAACCCACACTGGGACGGGGACACCATCTACTACGAGACCCGCAAGATCGTGGGCGCCGAGGTCCAGCACATCACCTACCAGCACTGGCTGCCCAAGGTGCTGGGGGAGGTGGGCATGAAGATGCTGGGCGAGTACCGCGGCTATGACCCCAGTGTCAACGCTGGGATCTTCAACGCCTTCGCCACTGCCGCCTTCCGCTTCGGCCACACACTGATCAACCCAGTGCTGCACCGGCTGGACGAGAACTTTGAGCCCATCTCTCAGGGCCCCGTACCCCTGCACAAGGCCTTCTTCTCACCATTCCGCATCGTGAACGAGGGTGGCATTGACCCGCTGCTCCGCGGCCTGTTTGGGGTGGCTGGGAAGATGCGCGTGCCCTCCCAACTGCTCAATACAGAGCTCACCGAGCGCCTCTTCTCCATGGCTCACACAGTGGCCCTTGACCTGGCCGCCATCAACATCCAGCGCGGCCGTGACCACGGCATCCCACCCTACCATGACTACCGCGTCTACTGCAACCTGTCGGCCACCCACACCTTCGAGGACCTGAAGAATGAGATCAAGAACCCCAACATCCGGGAGAAGCTGAAGAGGTGAGTGTGGCGGCTGGGATGTCTTTTCCTATCACCTGACTGATATTTTGCTCTTATTTATACTTCAGGATCTTCACAGAACAGAAACCATGCAATTCTGAAGCGTATGCATCTGATTTACTTCTCTTAACATTGTGGACTCCCAGTGCATCCATTTTCCTACCCTTGACTCTCCGGTTCATCCTTCTTATGGAGAGTAGCACTCCACTGTGTGTTTTTGTCTCCTTTCATCTCCTGATGGACATCTAGGCCACTTCCAAGACTTAGCTATTGCAAATTACACCACTTTTGAGCAGCTCATCCTAGGGTAGGATTGTGAGGGTCCTTGGGGGAGGGGACTGTGTCTGATTAGGCTCGGGGTTAGCTGATTTATACCTAGCTGCTTCCAGGATCTTCTGCCAACTCTTGGGGTCCAGTGAGACTCCAAATGGGGGCATGTAGGTGTTCTCCATTTTTCCAGTGTTCCTCCTGTCAGTTCTTTGCTCACAAACATGTTTTTTCTTATTCTTGGCCATGTCCCCATAAGGGTCCTGCATAGCCCTTGAGTTTGTGAAGAGGCCCGGGCCATTGTGCATAGATGTACACAGTCCCATTTTCAGAGTATAAAAAGAAAACAAGCGTCACCCCGGGGGGGCTCCCATCCCAGTCTCCTAGCACTGTCTCCGGTCACCCTGGCTCCCTCCACCTGGCACCAGGACAGCCTGCAAGGACTGGGCCTGCACTTGCTGGGGAGGGTGACTTCCTGTTCCCAACTTAGTGATGTTTCCCATGGTCAGGACACAGAAACAGTGGCCTTGGGTTCCTGGCATCACTACTGGATTGACAACAGGGCTCGGCAGAGATGTTAAAGACAGCACACTGCCCACTCATGGCTTTCTTCCTCTTCCTCTGTCAATCTAAGAGGAAACCAGACATAAATACCAGGGAAAGTGATAGCCTGGCAGAGAGTACAGACTGTGAGTGGTGGCTATTAGCAGACTTAAGGGTCACCCCCTTCTGCTGCACTGGCAGAGATTTTGTATCTCGGGGCCGCTTGGGTTCCCACTGCCCTGCACCCCACATCTAGAGTCCTCAGCCCCTTTCGTGAAGGGTGCTCCCTGGAGCCAGGGGAGTAGGGTATTTCCAGCCCTTGCAGAGCCCTTCAGGGGACAGAGGAGGGGGACAGAACAGGAGCAAGTTCTCAGGACACCGCAGGTGACAGGAGGTCCACTGTGCACCATTGTGGCACAGGCCAAGCCTAGGCTCCACTGACCTCTGGGCTGTACGGTCAGCCTTGTGCCACTGAACTGAGGAAAAAGACAGTGCATGGGGCCCCAGCTGCCCTGATGTCCTGAGAGGAGGCACTGAGAATCCTAGTGCTATAGAAATCAGGGCCAGACCAGGCAGAAGACAGCAGCCCCAGAGGAACTTTGGAAGGCACACAAGTTTGTTATGCTAGTAGACTGATGGGAATCTCAGTTCCAAATTGCCAGCCCCATCTTGAGGTTAGCAGTCACCTATATAGGTTTTCAGAAGGATGCACAAGAGGCAGATAACATAATATCCACGGTTGGTCGCACACGTCTTATCACATATTTGCTAGGCAGTGCTAGACAGGATTTATTCTATGTAAATTAAATCAGGTTACTATCGTGTAACAGGGAGGAAGAATCCATCATTGTCTGAGAATAGGCAGAGTTGTCCTGTAAGTAATAGCTCTCTGGGACTTAAAAGCAAGCAAAACACCACTGTCTGATCAAGTTACACTTCTCGTGTAGCTGGCACCTGGGGCATCAAAGCTCGTTAAGTGTTGCAGCTTCCTAATTACAGAATAGGCTATGTTTCCCAGTCTTATCCATGAACAGTGCTAGAAATATACTAGTCTTAGAAATAAGAGATTTGAAATTTCCTTTACATGTACACTAGCCTCCATAGTAGGAGATGTTTTAGAACCTTAGCTGAGGTTCAGTCACAGCCAAACAGAGCTGTTGCCCAGAGGAGCTCTCTGGAAATTGCACCATGCTGAAGAAGCAGGCTGTGCCCGGAAGTCACAGTTCTTCATGTGAACGCATTTGCTTCTGAAGAGTTGGGAGAGTTCACTTGGCCGTGTTTGCGCTTGAACATTTAAACCTTCTCTTAGGCTCTCGACTTATCTTTGTTTAGCAGATGTCTTCATCATGGCTCGTATACTGTTCCCCCAAATCCATTTTATTTCAAGGTGAAAAAGGAAGAAAGTTTAAAAAAAACAACAACAACAATTTCAAAACATATCAATCAGGGGCCAACAATGGTACATACATTGTGCATTGTCATCCCCAAATCATTCACCCAGAGCACAAGACATCTGCATTCATTTGTCTGAACAATACCCCCAGCACAAATCTTTCTCTTCAGTGAACTCAGGAAAATCAGTAGTATAATTATCTTAACTGCTTTTATATACATATATACATATATATAAACACATATACATAGGTTATTTTTTTTCAGCTTCTCACACTGATAATATGTTACACATGTGTGTCTTATTTATTCCACTAATGAGTATGTTTTCAAGTTGCATCCATTTACCTATAAAAGTCTCCAGTTTGGCCAGGGATTTAGCTCAGTGGTGTAAAAGCCTTCCTGGCAGGTGCAGGGTCATGAGTTCAATTCCTGATACCAAAAAAAATTTTTTTAAGTCTCTGTTTATCCTTCTTTATAGCTGAGTAGTACTTCATTGTATAAAAATACCACAACTTTTTTATTCATTCCTCAGTTGATGGACACTTAGGTTGTTGCCAAGATCTGGCTATTACAGACGTGCTGCTATAAACATGAGTGCACATATATCACTGTGGTATGATGTTTTTAATTCTTTTGGGAAGATACCCAGTAGGGGAATAGCTGCATTGAGTGGGACCTCCAGTCCTAATTTTTTGAGGACTCTCCATACTGATTTCCACAGTAGTTGCACCAGGCTGCACTCTCCCCAACAATGGAGAAGAGTTCCTTTTCCCCGCAGCCCCTCCAGTGCTTGTTATTGCTGGATTTCTTGATAATATGTGGCTCCGATATTTTCAATACATGGTAGAATCCAATTTTATTCTTTATGCTCTTTATTGGTTATCCATATGTTTATAGGGGAAGAGAAATCTACACTGTGATATGAAGTATATTTATCCTGGGAAAACAAGCCAGAGTGTGGCTAAATTTTCTTCTTCACATGCTATGGAGAAGGTGCCTTTCTGAATTTCTTGAAATAAATGATTTTATATGTAATAAAAAAATAGGAAAAAATTCTTTAAAATTGATAGATGCATCCAAGAAATAAAGATGCATTTTATTGGTTAAGTGAAACAGATTCAGGTAAAATCCTGTAAAAGCAAGTGCTTTCTTGAACTGGTGTTTCTTTTCTGACCTCCCACAGCTGAGCGGCCTCGGGTTAAGTCTCCCTTTCTTTCCTGCAGGCTGTACGGCTCCCCTCTCAACATTGACCTGTTCCCAGCCCTTATGGTGGAGGACCTGGTGCCTGGAAGCCGCCTGGGGCCCACGCTCATGTGTTTGCTCAGCACACAATTCCGGCGCCTGCGGGATGGGGACAGGTGAGCCCTCTGGGACTTGGCGCAGAGGAGACCGCACAGCCCCATCCCTGGGACCCCAGAACCACGCTGCAGCGTGCAGCCTCGAACGGGGGCATTTCTGCTAACAGGGCCACCAGTCCACACTGCTAAACCCATGCAAGGTTTGAAAGGCCTGGTTTTCATTTGTAGCTATCAGTTTAATATCTATTCCTGAGGAATTCAAGACAGCTCTGCTGCATCTGTTTTTCCAAAGGTGTCTGGTTTATTTCACTTAACAGTATGTCTTTAGGTGCCCACTTTCCTACAAATGACTCCAGTTTTTCCTTCTTTACTGGTTTACACTCCCACCTGCGATGTAGAGGGGCTTCCTTCCCTGCCCTCAGCCTCTCCAGCATCTGTCACCTGATTTCTTGATCATAGCCATTCTTTCTGCAGTGAGGTGGAATTTCAGTGTTGTTTTAACTTGCTTTTAATTACTGCCCACAGAAACCAGGGATTTCTGGGGAGCGGGAGGGGTTTCCTACCTCTGACCCCCCACCCTGCTGTCTCGCTGGCACAGGCTGTGGTACGAGAACCCAGGGGTGTTCTCCCCTGCCCAGCTGACGCAGATCAAGCAGACCTCGCTGGCCCGAGTCCTGTGCGACAACTCAGATAACATCACCCGTGTGCAGGCAGACGTGTTCAGAGTCGCCGAGTTCCCACATGGCTACGGCAGCTGCGAGGACATCCCCAGGGTGGACCTCCGTGTGTGGCAGGACTGCTGCGAAGGTGCGTGGCAGGACGAGGAGGGATGGGCCCCGTGACTGTGATCACCCAGAGTGTTTGTTTTCTTTTCTCATATGCACACACACATGCGTGCACGAAGCAGTGGTGTGGGGTCTGGTCACACCACCAGGCCTGTGAATGCCATCAGGAGACGCAGGAAATGTAAGCACCTGAGGCTGCTGCCTGCAGAACAAGTCCAGCCTGGGCAACTTAGCAAGATCCTATGTCATTATCAAGTTATTACACACAATATAATGCAGCTGGACTCTTACCCAGTGGGTTTTCCAGTGGAATCATCAGGGGCACCTGAGCTGGATGTCCCCATAGCCAGGTGATAGGAAAGTTCCAGCTCTGTTACAGTCCTTAGGCCCACCCGTGTGTTCATAAGCACAATAGTAAATCTTTACATTGTATCTGTGTCTGTACATATTTGTGCATTAGCCTCTAGGTCCCTATCCTCAGGTCAGAGGGGAAATAAACATATCAGGGAAGCAGATCAGATTGTCCATCAGAGCGAGCAGCAGGGCTCTGGAGCCCATGGAAGGAAATACTCAAGGTCGCCTCTGAGGGCACAGGCCATGCCCACGGGTGGGAGGGGTCCCCAGAAAGAGGTCAGACAGCCGGTTCCTGGCTCTCCTGTCCAAGCTGGCCCACGGGGACACCACCTCTGTCTGTGTGACCACTGTCCTCGTAGCCCCGTTCCCACTCTGCACAACTGAGTCTCGCTCGTGTTAATCACTGTCGCAGTTTATGTTTTGATGCCCCCTCCAAAGCCTCCTTCGCCCCGAGGAAGGGATTTGGGGAGGTGATTGGATCGTGGGGGTGTCACTCCTCAGCAGATTCGTCTTTTTTTCCTGACAGTAATAGTTCGATATGTTATTTCAATTAGTAAGTATTAAAGTCGGGGTCGAATATTCCAGCCTGTTTCTAACACTTGCTTCAAAGAGCGCGTGGCTGTGTGTGGGATGCAATTTTATGTCTGCCTCCCTGTCCATCCCATTCCCACATTTTTTTAGGAACCAATATCTGCATTTTTGCAGGAGTTTTTTTTTTGTTTTATACTCACGGTTTGTTCTCTTTAAATGTTTTGCCACAAGCATTCAGAGAATTTCATTCTGTGTTTGCAGAAAATTGTCCTCAGGAATTAAAAAAGCCAGTCCTAGTTTCCACACACAAACAAGTTTGCTGTATTTTCTGATCTGATCCTAGACTCCCTCAGCTCCTTTAGAAGGATGGGAGCTGGGCTTGCTGCTGTCCTGCTCAGCAAACTCGCAGAGCAGTGTCTGCAGCCGGCCCGCACCAGGCTCCTGGCAAACCCATTACCCGCATGGCCTCCCCAGATCTTCACCTCTTACCATGGCAGGCAGGACCCTCAGCCACAGACCCTAAAGAACGTTTAGTTTATTGGCTTTTATTTCAGACCAAAGCTGTATCTAAAATGTAGCTGAGAAAAGGAAAAAAAATGTAACAAAGAATTGAAGATTAACAATCACAGCATTGGTTGCTATTTGCTGAGTGCCGGAATGACAGGTGTGTGCCACCATGCCCCGCCAGGACAGGCTGTTTTGCATGAAAGGCTGTGTTCAGCACACACCATCATGTTACACAGATCCTGGGAGCTACTTCCTGGGCCCTGCACATTTGCAGTGAGCACATCTGCTTTAGCTGGCTCCCACCTGGGGAGCCAGTAGCCTGGCACTGTGTAAGGGGGGGGCAAGCAGCATGGCCTAGCCACACACCCTGTACAAGGACGGGCCAGGAGGGGTTGTCGCTGGAAATGCTGGAAGCCCTGGGTGGCCACTGGTCTCGTCCCTGTAGTGCTGTGATCAGGTGGGACCTTGGCCCACTCTTGAGACCCAGGAGGAGGCTCCAGACAGGACTAGGATTGCTAGGAGGAGATGCAGCTATGGTTTACCTAGTTTCTTTGGGTCCATGGAGCTATGTGCAAAATGGCACTCTCTGCCCACACTCACTGAGATGGCCAGTGAGCAGCATGTAGAGGTGCAGATCCAGTCTGGGGCTTGGCTTAAGCTCGCTGGCAAGCTGCTGAAATGAATTACAGGCAGTGCTTCATGGTGGTATGGTAGTGTCAAGGTGATAAGTGTGGGGCCCAGGTGAGTGCACTGAGGCTCCTCCCTCCACCTGGGTCACAGAGAGGGCTGCAGCTGCAGGAGGAGATCTTGGGGACCTCCGGAAACAGCAGGGTCAGGCTCTCTTATCCTGTTCCAGACCAGTTTGCAGCTCCAAGAGGCACAAACCCCAATCACAGCCTGACCTATGATGTCCCTGCCAGTTTCATAGATGCAACGTGAGGATCGTCTGGCCGAATGGTTTACTATCTCCTAAGCTGGAGTCACCATCCACTCACAGACCCTCTCCACTTCCTCTTTAGACTGCAGGACCCGGGGGCAGTTCAATGCATTCTCCTATCATTTCCGAGGCCGACGGTCCCTGGAATTCAGCTACCAGGAGGATCAACCAGCCAAGAGATCCAGGCCTCAAAGGGGACTCAGGTGCGTGTGTCTGGTGAACCGTTGAAGAGGCATTAGGGCTGGGGGTCTGCTGTCTTGTTTTTTGCTTGGCCAGTTCGGGTACAGCAGGGGACATCCTGGAGTGGATGTTGAGAGCAGGGGACAAGTCTCGCAGCCGCTCTCTACCTGGGCTGTGCTGGCTGAGTAGAGGGCGTAGGAGGAGGGACACTCCAGAAGCACAGATTTCTGCCTGGTAAATGACTTTCCTACCTGCAGAGGTGACATTTCTCTGCTCCTCCTTCTTTCTCCCTTAGTGTTGGAAAACATAGCAAACACATGGGCAATGCAACAGCAGCAGTCTCTGAGCACTCGGGTGGCCTGGCCACAAACGACTTCAAAGAGTTTGTCCAGGAAATGCAGAAGACTATCACAGAGCTCAGAAAACAGGTAATGCCGCCTGCACCCCACCCCACCCCACCTACTCTTCATTCTGAAGACATTTTCCACACAGTTCAGCTCCTTCCCGTCCAGGAGCTATGTGGCCCAGTTACGGCTCAGGTGTCCCCTCTCGGTGGCTTCACCCTTCTCTGTTTCTTACCTCTACCAGGCCTGCATAGCTGGGCTCTCTGGGCCTCCCAGCTGGCCAGGGACTTGGCACTGGGCACTTAGTGTCACAGGTTCAAAGTCACAAAAACCAGTTGTGGAATGATGTCAGAGATGGAGAATTTCATTTCCTGTTCCCAGGCCACTTTTCAGGGATAGCTTCAGGGTGGTTGTCCATGGCAAGTGGTGCCCATGCATGGTGCTTTTCTCTGTCAACCCCCAGGAACTAGCTTCTGCCTCTTCCTAGGTCATTTTACTGAGTGGGTAGAGTAGAGACATATCAGGCAGGAGGAGGTATGCACTCCAGGTAATGGCACAGGGAGAATTTGGGGACATGTGGTGCCTTCTCTGGAGCTTGGGGTTTGTGAGTACAGCTCTGTTCTTGCTCCTAAACTCCTCAATTTTAGAACAACTGATTTATTCACCAACTATCCTGTCGCCAAAAATACTCCACACCCACAACTTACAGAACAGGTTTAATTTAATTTAGCTCCTGGTTTTAAAGGGTTCAGTCCATTGTGTACTGGTTCCAAGAGAGAACAGGGAGGAGCTTGGCTCTAGAATACACCCTTCCAGGTCACACTGCAGTGACCAGGCCCTGCCTCCTATAGCGCACTCAGCCTGGAACTCATTCACAGATGGATGCACTGATGAGCACAGAGTTCCATGCGCCATCACCTTGCACATGCATGAGACTTTGGGTGACATTTGAGATGTAAACCATAGTAAGAGATCATGTGCCAGTGTGGCCCTGAAGTCCCCTGATCTCAGGGGTGGCTTCTGCCCCTTCTGTGACACGAGCTCCTCCATCCTGCAGATATGAGTATCAGGCCACCAATGCAGGGACCAGTCACTCTAGATGTCAAGGTGGTGATAGATGCACGTGTCCTGGGGACTCAGTGGAGGCTGCAAGCCCCAAGGAAGTCAGAGTAGACCAGGTAAACAAATGATTTTTGAGGGTCCCACTTGCAGCACCCTTGTGACTTCTATAAGCCTAGTTTGGAGGCATCTAGACTTAGTCCCCTCCCTGGCATCTGGGCATGGCCACCCCATGCCTGAGGCCCACTGACCCTGAGGGCCACTGAGGCAACCACAAACCAGCTTTGTCCTTGCCTCTCTGGGCTTTTGAGTTCAAGCAGGATCTGCCACCAATGCCTGGGTCCTGGCAGGAGGCACAGGTCCGGCCACCTGAGGACACCAGGACCCTCCTCTTGTCTTCATGGATTTGACCACAAATTCTAGGATTTTAGTGACTTAAATATCAATCCTGCTAATGAATGATTCGTATAGTGTAGTTGGTCTCATTTAGAAGCAAGTGAATTTGAGGTGTTTCATGAGGTGAATACTTATTTAACTAATTAAATCTGAGGTACTTGTGCTGCCCTTTAAGGATAGAATCACCTTAAACTACAGAGGGAAAGGAATTTCTCTGGGGCGCACCAGCGGGTACTTAGTTAGAGCTTCTGCACTTAGTTACAAACCCAATCCTCCCTCCTTTTTTTGAGACAGGTTAGGTTGCTAGGTTGCCTGGGCTGGGCTTAAATTTAGAATTCTCCTGCCTCAGCCTCTTGGAGTGCTGTGATTGCAGGCATGTGCCACCACACCTGGCAGAGGTGATTGTGACACTGGACAGTGTGGGTTTTTCTCGAGTGCAGCTGTGGTGGGAAGGGTGTAGATGGTGTTTGAACTCAGATGCACGTGCTGCAGCCTTGTCACTTAATGTGGCCGCTGTCATCTGTTACCGAGGGAGACAGCTGCCCGCCATCATGCATGCCTCGCAAGAAAGCTTATTTTGAGGATTAAAGTCAGTGCATCAGTGACGTCCACTCCTGGCCTCTGTAATGGTTCTTTTAGGCTCAGTTACAGCTGACAGAAAACCCAAAGTAAGGACAGATCCAGTGAGGCCTGGGCTGTCTTCCTCAGGGGGTCCAGGCTGGTGGTTTTCTACAGAGGCAGGGGCCCCAGCTGCCTCTTATTCTGGAGCGTGACCCAGAGCCCTGCAGCTGCCACACCTGTCTGCACCCTTAGTAGGGTGCAGGAAGTTGGCTGCCAAGGATCCTTCGGGTCAGGAGACCCCAACCCAGGTAGGAAACTGGAAGTGGGAGCAGGCAGGTGGGTGAAGCATCTGTCTACCGGCCTGAGTGTCACCTCCTACAGATTGGTGGGTGTAGGACCCTAGGAGTGCGAGCCCTGCTGTGAACTGCACCTGCAGGTCACACGCAGTAAGAGAATTAACACAAGAGTAGCAATAAAAAGCACAGTGCGGTAATAATAAGAACAGTACATGATGCAGTAATAAAGTGCGTGAATCATCTCAAAACACCCTCTGCCCCCGCCTACCTGTGAAAAATTATTTTCCACAAATCAGACCCTGGTGCCAGTCAGCTGGGGACATTAGCTCCCGGGGACTTCTGTCTCTCCCTGCACATCTTGAGAGTCACAGGCACACACCTCACTTCCAGCAGGAACCAGGGCCATGTCACTGAGAACATGATGCTGATACTCTGGGCCACGGTCTTAGGACAAGGTCCTCAGTGCAGGGTCCTGGATTGATGATGCAGCTGTGGTGTCCAGGCATCTTCCATCCTTGTCCTCACCATAGTGCAGACCCTGTGCCCTCCTCTGTCAGGTGGCATGGTATCAGGTGGCATAGTTTGGGGCATCCGGTTGTGGTGCCTTCAAACACTCTCACTTGTCTCACTAGTATATTTAAGACCTCGAGGGGGTCTGTGCCAATGCCCTGCAGTGACCAGGACGCACTTTGTGTCTCTGCAGATAAACAAGCTCGAGTCCCGGCTCAGCACCTCAGAGTGTGTGGACACAGACGGAGAGTCTCATGCCAACAATGCAAAGTGGAAAACAGACGCCTGCACCACATGCGAGTGCAAGGTGAGCATGGGGCCCATGTGGCACTGCATATCCACCTGGGGAGAGATGGGGTGGCCCAGGGTTCAGGGAGCACCAGGAGTCCACCAGTCCCTCCCAGGCGAACCACAGAGAAGACACTGGTCAGACCAGACCAGACCCTACAGAGGGTGAGCACCCAAGAAGGTGCCGTGTGCCCAGCTGTGCTCCAGCTGTGCCTGCTGCTGGCTGGGTGGGAGGTTCCCATACGGAGCCTGTGTAGACACAGTAGCTCAGGTCAGGCTCCACAAGGGGCCTTGGTTCCCGGAGTGGGTGGGGGACACAGCTCATCTTGGGCATAAGGGAGATAGTGGAGGGATGGAGGTGCTGGGTCCTAGCAGGGACCAGAGCCTGGCCTGGCAGCTTAGGCAGAACTGGCTGGCAGGTAGTGATGGCGAGGCCCTGTCTGGGAAATGTGTGTGGTAGCCAGGGACAGGTTTCTCTCTCTGTGAGGGATATCAGTGGCATCTGGTATCGCTGGGCTGGTCTCACTTGGGAAGGAAAGACCAGGTTCTGTGTCCCTTCTCTGTCTGTTCCATCTTCCAGTGCAGATCTGATGCAAGCCCAGCCTGTGGCCATGGGTTTCAGGGTGATGAACAAAAAGCAGGCCGTGTGAGCCCCCAGAGGAGGGGGCTGTCGGCCTTAGCTAGTGCTTGTGTACAGCCAAGAAGCCCCCCAGAATCACCCCTCTGGTGCAGCTGCAGGGGAGGGGAGACTGTCAGTTCTGGGCCCGGGGCTAGGGTGACCAACACATGCCCCTCAGACTGATCCAGAGGTGACAGCTGTGCGCATCTGTCCTACAGGATGGGCAGATCACCTGCTTCGTGGAAGCTTGCCCACCATCCTCCTGCCCAGCGCCTGTGAAAGCTGAAGGCACATGCTGTCCAGTGTGCCCCAGGGAAACCCCAGAGGAGGAGCCCTAGGCACTGGCAGAGCTCCTCGGGGTCATCTGCGTGTCTTTGGGAGATGGCGTGGCCGATAAGGGGAGCGAAGACCAAAGGCTACGCCCAGGACTGAGACCCATCAGGACCTCTGGCCAGGCCTCAGGGTACATCACAGGCTGCTCAGGCCCATGTCCGTGCCAAGGAAGCAGAGCAGACAGGAAGGAGGGCAGCCGTGTCCTCACTACGTGTCAGACTTCTCAGGTTTTTATTTAATTCTTTTAACACGAAAAATTGGTGCTACCGTTAAATTGCACAGTCCAGTCATTAGGCTCCTACACTGATTTGAGCCCGTGACAATTCCTTCTCAATGGAGCAGGGTCCCTCTGGTGTCCCTTCCACCTGGGTCTGGGGCCAGGAAGTTAGACAGATGGCACCCATCTTATAAAAGGAGTCCTGGACCATCTGGGTACCGCCACAGGCTACACTGAAAAAGAAAATCCACTTTTGGCCAATGGAACTGGGTCTTTGAAAAGCTTCCCTGGTGCTCCTCCCTGTCTGTCCGCTTCCCCTTCTGGGGTCTCTAACGTCTCTCAGCTCACCACCATTTAACCACAGGGCAGATCGTGGTCCATGCCCCCACCCCCCATGCTAATCCTCCTCCTTGCACATGTGACTGTCACATTGTTAAGCCACATCTAGAAACCAGCTTGTTTCCAATGATAGCATGACCCTATGCTGCCCATCTGTGACCTGGATGTGAGCGCCTCATTCCATGTCCTGTGCAGCAACCTCCTGGTGACCATATGCTGGGCAGGCAGCCTGCAGGTAGACGTCAGTCTGTGCCTGACCACAGCATGCAAGCTCGGACCCACCCTCCACGTCTTTCTCCCCAGGTGATGTGCAGGGAGAACAATGTAGCTTTGTGTTGCATGAACACTTTGAAAGAATCAATCCCTATACCTCATGGGTACTTATAAATTGCATTGTGTCTTGAAAATTTACCCATTTTTCAGGTGTTGACTGAAACATCTGAGTATAGTAGATCATTTCCACTATGCAAAAGTTGTTTGAGAATTTAGTGAAAGCCAACTATCATACCTCATGGCCTCTCTTTTTAATCAATCAAAACCTTCCATTTTGTCCTGAAAAAAATCAATCTGTGTTCTGAGGGACATTCCCCCTGAACATGCAAGTTTCAATCAGCATTCGTGTATTTGCCCATGAGCTCTGTGTGCCAGGCACTATGAATACCCCCGATGTCAACACAGCAACCAACTGCTGAAGACACAGGTGTCATAGTGAATCAACGTTGCCCATCTGAAGTCAGCAGCTTGCATGTACGGGCCCCTGAGCATCTGGGGTGATTTGGGTGTGATGTATGTGCTCTGGTGAGCTCCCTTCCCATAGAAACACCAGAGGCCAAGCGTGCAATCCACTGAGTGTGAGCAGCCTACCATAGCTTCATGGCAGGTGTATATCCTGAGTTCTTATCTGCACATTGCTAAGTGGTAAATAAAACCTGGCAGAAGTTTCCTGAGGCAAGCACTTCTTTTGAAATAGGAAGTCAGACTTAGCAGTCAAATCTGTAAAGTAGGCAACTGATGAGCCCGTCCAAATTCAATGGCATGAAAGTGGCTCGGGTGTCAGTAACAGCAGAGTCTGTTCTGGGGGTGCTTTGCTGTCTCGTCTGTGCCTGGGGCTATTGTGGGCTCTTGGTTTTGGCAGCACCCACTAGGGCAGCATGTGGCAGGCAGCCAGCTCTCTGGGGTTCTCATTCTCTAAGCGGAAGAAGGGGCAGCTAACTGCAATTTACGTCCGATTCTATAATTCACCCCCAAAATGCCCACACGTCACCAGTTTGATGATGCTGCATCTTCACTACTAAGACAGGGACACTGCCTGGATGAATTCTTCTTAGCAGCCACTGTGAGGGGATCGCTGTAACAGGAAGCAAAATGTACATATTTATTTACATTTCTAACCATTGCTGGCAGCCAAGTGCCTTTTTTATGTTCATTGTATTCAGTACTTTACCAAAGAGACATTTGCACTATGTAACGATGCCTTTCGGTTTAAATAAAAGGGCCATGTTGTCAAGTGGAGAGCGTTCTTTCCCCTCCCCCCCCTCCCCCCGCAAATGATAAAGCCGTGGCCGGTTTGCCAGACAACACTAAAAGCATGACAGGGATTGGAAGTGAAGCCCCGACTGAAGCCCTGCAGTTGCGCTGAGAAGTGAAAAGGGATTGGGTAAAAGGCATGGTCACTTCCCCGAAGGAAGAGTGCTTCACTGAGCTGGACTATGATTTTTATAGATCCAGGGCAATTGGGAACGGAATACTAGGGAGAAGCCAACTGCATCTTTCCTGGGGGAAGATGGTGGTGGTGGGAGTGACCCCTGAGGGCTGGCAACGGGGAGACTTCTTCCCCAAAGTGGGAGCACAGAGCACCGACTGCAGGACATATCTGTGCAGCTCTGCAGCCACATGTCAGTGACAACTTTCTGTCCCCTGAGCTTCAGTCTGGAGAGGGAGAGGATGCTGGTCTGAAGGAAACGGAAAGATTGGAGGAAGCCTTTACAAGACTTGACAACACTGTCACAGGGCCTGGGGGTCAGACCGCACTGCTTACAAAATTATCTAAGAAACATGAAGTTTTTGACATTGCCAAATCATTCCAAAATGTTGAAGAGAGGGCCAGAGATTTAGCTCAGAGGCACAAGTGCCTGCCTGGGAATCATGTGGTTGTGAGTTCAATCCCCATTAAAAAAAAAAAAAAAAAAAAAAGCAACTGGTGAAGAGAGACTGACCAGGGCTGTGCAGACACCTACATCCCCTGCTGCCTTCCAGGGTACCCAGATGGCACTTTGGTGAGGAACTTGTCTCTCGTGAGATCCTGAAATTATCTGTTAGCTGGCAAAACAGTGTGTGCTTATAATCTCAGCACTCTGGGAGGCTGAGGCAGGATGGTTGAAATTTCAAGCTCAGCCTGGGCAGCTAAATGACTTGGAATGACCCTGTCTTGAAATAAAAAATAACAAGCTCAGTGCAAAGGCTGCAGGTTCGATTCCCAGTACTGCAAACACAACAACCTAAGACAGTATTTTGCAGTCACTGGGAATTACATTTAAGGACTCCAGTGGCTCTTTTTCCAAAAGTGACACATGTGAGGTTGGAATTTGTGTGTGATGTGAACAGGTTTCCGTTCCACTAAGCCTTGAATTTTTTGATTGTTGTGAAACTACCTAGAGAAAAACAGCAGTGTGGGCAGAGTGGGCCGGTCTGTGCCAGCCGGACCCCTGTACTCTCCATCTCTCCCCATGCCCGCGTTTTCCTTAGCTTTTTGAGGACTGCCAGCAAGACACCCAACAGTCGCTCCTCTTTGGGTGTTCGGGTGCCAAGCTGATGGCTTTGTACTTGAAACCTTCTCTTGGTAGAGCTGATTTCATGTAAGACAATGGTAACAAATATTCTCAAAGCCCAGTCATGGCTGGTTTTATGTCTGTGGGATTCATTAAAAATCACTTCCTCTCCATCTGCTATTACAGTTTGTCTGTTTTCTTTGTCCAGAAAATTGGAACTCCGGAGGAAGATGCCAAGGTTAAAAATCCCGGCACCTTTTCCATTGCATTCCTACAGCATCCTGAAAGTCTCCACAACTTAACAAAGAGATCTTAAAGTGACTTTTTGTGTGTGTGTGCCATTATAATTCTGAATGTCAGCCCCAGCAGTCTCTGGAAACATCTCAGAAATGGCTTTATTGGGCCTGGGCTTAATGAGGAGGAAACTATGTCCTCTCTCTCTCTCCTTCGTAATGGCTGCCCCAACAACCATGAATTGGGTGGCTTTCCTACTGTAGAGGTCTGGAGAAGAACAGAAATCCGATTTTCATTCTCTTTATTTCCTGTTCTGACAGTAAGCCTAGTCGTGTCGTGGAAGATCTACTTTTCCTTATGTTCACCAAAGTCAGATCTCTAATGATTATTCACCCGCAGTTAAAAGCCCTAACATAAATAATCCCGAGACGTCGTGGCTCTGTGCTGTCTAATTGTCTGCCTCTTTCCCAGCAGGCAGACTGATTTTCCCCTTTGGCCTTCACTAAGCACGACAAGGGGCCCTGTGGAATGCGCAGCTGGCAGCTGGTTTGGAAGAGGTTTCTGGACAGCATTCATGTTTATGTTCTTTAAAAATCTGCAGCAGAAATTATGTCAGTGGAGGACACCGGTCTTCAGTTTTTGGAACTGTGACTCAGAGCCCCAGTGGTCGTGCTGGGTGCTGGATCTCTACAGAAGTCTCAGGGGAGCTGTCCGGGTAGGAGGCGGTCACTACTACCTCTCAGAATGCTGGTCCCAAAGCCCCAAACCTACTCCTCTGACTCTAAAATCAGCCCTCCCTGGGTTTCATCACACTGAAAGAAAGCGAATGTCCACATCGAATTTAGATTTGATTTCTTGCCTGTTCTGCCCAAAGTATTGGTAGACCTGCCCGGCTCCTCAGACCTTGGAAACATTGGATCTCGGGAAACTGAATACTCAGGCTTTGATTCTTGTGCTCAGTTGCCACCTGGTTTGACCCTTCTGTGTCTTCCTGTTTTTTTTTTTTTTTTTTTTCATTTAGAAACAGGCAATTACATGGCCTGCCGTGTGAGTGCATTGTAGAGATAACGTGAAGTGTCCACCTCTGTGTTCCCACCCAGATCCAGAGCTAGGCAGTATCTGTTTCTGGGCCCTTCAGCACAGCCATGCCCCTGCAGAGGTCTGACTTGGAGAACCAAGCAGCCCATACTTCACTGTTGGTGGCTGTGTCTTCATGCAGGGAGGGAGAGGAAATGCTGAGATGAAGCCTTGATTAAAGGCAAGGAAGCTGTAATGAGCAAGAATCCCATCTGGAGATTAGAGCCAAGATCTGACAGCCCCGGTCTCCAGAGGCCCAGAGTGTTTCTAAGACACAATGCACCTGGATCCAGAGAGCCATGCAAGATTCTCGCTCATGGAAGCCCAGCTGGCCCTGCACCCCACTTACTCCATCTTGGGGTGCTGAATTCCTATGGACCTCAACACAAATCTTCCCTGCCTGTGCTCGGTCTATCTTCCTGCTACTGGTTCCCATCATTTGTGATCTCTTTGTCTCCCCTGTGGTTTCCACCACAACACAGCTGACTGATATCCAGGAATAGGTCCAGAGTGAGCTCTGTGCTGGACTTGGTTCTCGGCATGAGTTACTGACTGCCCTCCTGAGTGCGGCGTTAGAGACAAGCGCACAACTGTCCTGTCTTCGCTGCTGTGGATTCTGAGCTTGTTCAACCCCTGTTCCTGATTCGGCACCAGCTCAGTGTCAATGACCCTGTTACTTTTTAAGCTGAAAGCCTTTGTGTCTGGGCCAGTGTAACACAGTCCTCTTACGTTTTGCAAATAACCATAACGTGAAGACATCAGATTTGGGCCAGCTGTGTGCTCCTGTCCGTTATCCCTGATGCTCAGGTTATACAGTCCGCTGGACAGCTTCATCTGTAGTTATCTACCTAAAGGACGAACTTTGCTTACAGGGTTGTCAGTGGGGGTGAGGTGTGTAGGTAATGAGCTGCGTCCTCTGCATTCTGTCCAGAGCTGTTCAGGCTGGCATCTGTGGCAGGCACAGAATGGGCCAGGTTCTTGGGGACCCAAGGCAGTGACACAGCGCTGTCATCCGGAGGAGGATTGGGGAACTCACTTTTCTAGGTAAAGCCCCTGAACTCTTCCAGATTGGATGAACAATGCCCGTGTTTCCCTGCAGAGGGGCTGAAGCATGGTCAGGACTCTGCCCCCTCTGCTAGGGCAGACAAAATGGCAACCTCCATCTGTGTCTGGGACTGAGTGTGCCCGAGTGAGGAACGGCTGTTCCATTCCCAAAGCTTCTTTCCTATTGAAGCCAAGATGTGGGCTCAGTACTTGCTGTAGCAGGGGCTACTAGGATTCTGGAATGTGACCAGGCTGAGGACCTGCCCCCAATAAAGACTGCAGGATGGAAACGAGATGAAACAGGTACGGGCTGGATAAGGACTCGTGATGGGCTGGATATGGGCAGATATAGACAGCATGTAGACACTCCACGCACAGGTAAGAGTAAGTGTACCTGTGAGATACAGTACAGCTGATAGACTGCAGGCAGAACATGCACAGATGGAACACAGACTGCAGACTGGAGATACACAGGCATAGACTGGATATGGGCTTTGGGTCTGATACAGACTAGAAATGGAATACAGAATTTGTGTATAAACAGTATATAACCATATAGTGGATATAGGTATAGATTGGAGACAGACAATGGCTATAGAGTAATAGACCTGAATATAGACTATGGATTAGATGTAGAGCAGATGTAGACTGAATACACCCTTCAAAAGGGCTAAGCTAGGCAGAGGGAAGGCAAGCAGGAAGGTTGGTTCTTAGATGGCCATGACTGGATATGCAGGACCATGCAGAGGCCTTCCCGGAAGTCAAGAGGGCTTCCTGAGAGCCCCAGGAAGGGGCAGGGCTAGGGGCAGCTGTCCTAGCAGGAGGATGGCTTGGTGTCCCAGGAGAGGAATCCTAGTTTCCAGGGAAAAGCAGGTTAGCAGGACCACCTACCCCAAGAGCTTGACTGTTCTAAGGCCCCAGAAGCCCTTAGGACCCAAAGCAAGAGTCTCCTGCAGTGACCACCACCCTGCAGGGTGGAGGGTTGGAGCACAGTGCTGCGCAAGGACTGGCTGCAGTGCATGTGGGATCTGGAGCCCCAAGAGGACACGGACAAGGTCGTGAGTTCAACCCCCAGTAACAAAAAAAGATACAGAGGTGAAGCATGGTGGTACATGCCTGGAATCCCAGACTCTGGGATGCTGAGGCAGGAGGCTTGTAAATTTGAGCCTAACCTGAGAAACAGGGAGACCCTGCCTCAAAATGAAAAAAAGGAGGGGAGTGGTTTGCAACTCATGAAGGCCCTGGGTTCAATCCCCAGTGCTAAAAAAGTAAATAGAAAATAATCAAAAAGTCTCCAGGGAAATCACATTTGATAAAACTTACTGTTAAATTGCAGATGCAGGCAGAATTCCCCAGCAAGCTGTGTGTGAAGTGGGCCTTGCAG